TGATGTCTGGCTGTGTTAGCAAAGTTGCCGACTGGCTAGTTTTTGATCATAAGTAATGTAATCATGACAAATATACAGCTGTCCATATTTATCATCCTCATCATCATCATCAAGGAAGTCTTTCCTTGCTGCCGTGGCCAAGTGCTTGCTCATGGTGGAAACTGTTGGGTTTTATAATTAATCATTTTATAAGGAGTTCGGTCTAGACCTGCTCTATTTAAAAAGTGTCCTGAGATAACTTTTGTTATGAATTGGCGCTAAGTTAAACTGAACTGAACTGAATTTACCACAGTGATATTGCAACTTGGGGCAACAAATACCTTACATAATGTTGTTTTAAGTTAGCGAATATTAGCAAAATGCTAGCTGGCTATTAGTATTAGCTATTAGTTAACATTTCGATAACACTATCAGCTGTAACTAGGTAGCTAACAATTGATGTGGATTAGTTAGTAAATTTGCCAATAATAGCATAAAACACCGTATGGCTTTTTAGCTGTAGGAGTCCAAATCCTATGGCCAGCCAAGCAAACAGTTGCGTTATGAAGGTGCTGATCAACAATAGAAATAGGGGTCCTTTCAGTCTGCCTGGACGGACCTGAGATATATAACTACCTTACTGAATCTCATATTTCTAACATCTGTCACTGTTGTGGTTGTCTGTCCAATGTAATGTTACTGTAAACTAATTACGTCTGTATGTTGGCAAAGAATCCCTCTGCTTCACACTGTCAGACCAAACTCCAAAAGTGTGTTTTATGGTAGAGCCATATTTCTTCACAGTAAAAACTTTATTTACACCATTACTAAGACTGTTTACTGATTCTTTTCAATCCACAGTCGGCAAACATGTCATTTACTCAGTAACATTATTCACTAACCTGCGCTGAAGGGTTTGCCACAGATGGACACACATACTGATTGTCTCTGTAGATAGCCTAAAACCACAGATCTTTTCTTTCACTGTCCTTCAATCTTTGTGAAAGTAAATAAAATCGTAAACTGGGTTTTTATTGTCCAAAATGGGACGGAGCAGCTTTTAGGCATGGTGCCACTAGGGACTTATACAGCACCCAAAAGGGGGCATGGTCATTCTAAAGACAGGAAAGTGACGTATGCCTGTTCTCATGAATGGAATATAATATTCAGGCTTAGTATGTTTGCAATAGTGTATAATCACCTGAATATATAAATAGTTTTGTTTTTGTTACCTTAGAATGAGACGTATACATCTACAGACACTTCCATGGAAGTCACCATGCTGAACTGCCATGTTTGTACAGTAGCCTGGAAAGGACAAACCAAATACAGGCTCTAGATAGGGAAATTTGCATTTGTCTCACATTTCAGGGCCACTGTAGTTTATCCTTCACCCTTGGGAAGGGAGAGTGAAGAGAGGGAGAGGCAATCAGCAGCTACACTGCTAGATGCCACTAAAGCCTACACACTGGACCTTTAATTACAAGAATTTTAAACGTTTTTCTTTTTCATGATCAAAATCGACGAACAAAATTTCAAAAAACTGTTTCCAACTGAATTAGTTCACTTGTCTGATGTCTGATAAGGTGAGGAGACTGTAGGAAAATTATGGTAAAAACAAATTATACATCAATCAATCAATCAAGCTTATTCAAAGTCACACGTAATCATACAACATACAATCACAGTGAACTGATATCCCACCAAAACAAAAATAAAAGGTCATTCAGATGTGTAATCTGTAATTCAGATGTGGGCCGGCTGACATCAAACTTTGTGAACTCTTAAGTAAATGAGGTCCCGAAGCTAAAAATAAATAAAACTCTTGTTGCTCAGCCTACTGATGAGAGCAGGGAACATGAATATCAGTTTGATACCCAAATATCCGCCACCCCTCGTCGTTCAGGTAGCTTAGGTAGTTCCTTCTGAGCCTCCAAAAGGACAACAATTTTATAATTATCAGGTTGTTGATTTGTTCCTCACCCATTCCATAGTACATACATACAATGTACATTACAGTAAAAGTTGTGAAATAATTGCCTAAAAAGAACTATATTGATGCTTTGTAAATACCTATAATTTGGAGTACAGTATTGTAAAGAGTTCAGCAGTTCTCTAGTGATACAGTTTGATTGTCCGTTTGTTAAGGCTCCAAACATAAACCACTGAAGAGCTCTCAAAACTGACCCGTAAAGTGCAGATTAGTCTAAACTTCATTTGACTGGTGTTTTGGCCATTGTTGTTGAAAAAGCTGAGATACAGTATGTGAACACAAACACCACTTCCTTCTGTTTCCTGTGAGAACTGACCTCTGACCCCTACATCTTGCTCCCAGCATCGAGTCAGACACATGATATCCCCTGGGAGCCCGGCGGCATGTGCTCTACAAGGTCCCTGCTTTCCTTTGCTTGATTCTCTGTATATTTTTTAACTCTTAAAGTCTAAAAATACAGCTGAGTGCGGATGTTGCTGCTGCGTTACATAAGCTTGTGGGACTGAAGTGTCAAGAATAAGAGGTTGTACAGAAAGTTTCTGGATCTCAGTTCTCATAAAGTAAACAATCATGGAAGAAAGGACAGTTTCCTGGAACAGCTTCACAGAGGAAAATCTTGACAGAATAAGCTGCAAGCTTCATGTTTTGGTCACTTTTTAATATACTTGAGGAAAAATGTCACAAGTTTCCTGGGCTCCACTGTAAAATTTGATAGTAATGAAGACAATAAGTCAAACTGTAGTTTAGTCTATACTCCACATTTTTATGTAGTATAGCAGTGTTATCATTCCCACAGTAAAAAAGAATGTGCCTTCATCCCCAGAAATGTATCCTGGACAATGTCACCGTCAACTTTTCTTTTATTTCCTGCAACTGTAGAGTTAAGGACAAAGTATTATTAGCATTTCAATTTCTTGCTATCTGATCTAATGAATATAGATAACCTATATTTATTCTGATTAAAGGACACAGAAGTTAATGTAATTATTTCTGATTCATTTTGGGTTGAGGAATAGCCATGCAGTGCTTCTAATTTTAATTCTATCCTACTGACCTCATTTAACTGTGCGTAGGATCCATACCAAACGTTTGTGTGCGCAAAGAGTCAAAACTGGTTTACGTCAAAAGTTATGGATATTTGATGGGATCTCTGACTTCAGTAATGTGGCTGAAGTGAAAAAGAATCTGAATATTCAGGGTTAAAAACAGGCAACTGTTTTAATTGAGGCCCTCGGGTCATAACAATACGTGTGTTAAAGCTGCAGTGGGTAACTTTTATTACAATAACCTTTTGTCATATTTGCTGAAACTTTTACTATATGCTGACAGTAGTACATGAGACATAATCTGATCAACTATGTTCAACTCTGATTGGTTGCTTTCGTTCAGGCCTGGTTGATTTTTCAAAAAACATTAGGAGCACTAGGAGCAAATATGACAAAAAGTAATTTTTTATAAAAAGCTACCTTCTGAAGCTTTAACAGTACAAGAAAAATCAATGTGCACATTTTAATTAAAAAAATCTAAGAAAAATTAAATCAAATTAAATCTTTGTTTTTGTTTTTGTTGCAATTTCATATGGTCTTTCTGCTGGTTTACTCTAGACTTTACTTTGTTGCTATACACTCCACTTCCAAGTGCGAAGTAGAAACTACAGTGGCCACGAAATGTGCAAAAAACACTACTCAGTGTTTGGTTTGTCTTTTCTGGGCAACTGTAGAAATACGGCACTTCAACATGGCAGACTCCACAGAAGGTGACCTGCAGTGTGATGACACTAATGAAAACATACCTATAAATAATATTTTAAACCTTTATACCTTTCCGCAAATATGGCCGATACACTAAATGACGTCTATGCATGTTTTGAGGCCCATAACAAGCAACCAAGGAGGAAGACCACCCCCTCGTACCCGAACTCAAAAAGGCCTGGAAATGTACCACCCAGAGCTGAACCGGACCCGTTTATTGTTTGAAAGCTGGGACCCACGCAGAACGGAGAAATGTTGGACACGACTACCTGGATAGGAGACAGATGCCCAATCAAGTAATACAGAGCTAAGATTAATTAGTTAGCTAAGTATCAACAGCGTGGCTTTCTGTTGGAGCGAAGTGTTTCTTGGGCTGGGCCTCACTGATTACTGTACAAAAACGCAACTTTATCACTATACCAAAACACAACGTCATCAGTGATTTGTGTGAAACTGGGTCTTATTTTATGAAGACATTTTTTTCTGGTTTTCCCTCTGATGTCCTGCGTCCTCAACTTTGCTAACTGCTGCCATAGCTACTGATGGCGTGCAATGGAATGGCTCAGCATCCTTCCAGTGAACACAACTTCTGTGACAGACTGAGGCCAGTTTGAGTTTCCAAATGGACTAGTTGTTTAAAAGTAGCTAACTAGCTTGTGTAAATCTTAGACCGTTAAAACTGGTCTGGCTTTGATATTTACTGGGAGTTCCCAGCCCAGTAGAGTCAGCCAATAGGACCGCTACAGCTGCTTGATGGGGGGGATGTAACATACATTCAGCGCTATTGGCTACAAGTCCCTCTGGAGCTGCCAGTTTTTACAGAAACATAAATATTAGGAAGCAAACTGCCCTCTGCTTAATGTTTATGTGGACTTATGTGGAATGTAATCCCTATTGTGTAGTTGTATATGAACGGGTTGACAATACATTTTCTTTCAAGGATTGTCATAAGGGTTACTAAAGCTGTGCATCCTTCAGCATACTGGTTACAAGGAGTGTACACAGAAGAAACAAATGACATAAATCATTAAATATCCATTCACACACACACTGAATCACTAAGGGTCCTCGGAGCTGAGCATGAATTTATTCAGTCTGCAGTCTGATACAATGAAACACACATATACACACACAAGCTTCTATTGACTGTGTTGTTTGGGAATGTTTTCAGTTATGATTAGCAGCCACTGGCAGAGAGAGGGAGGGGGGGAGAGATGTTGGGTGTGTATTGGGGTAGTTGATCTTGTAGTGATTACAGTTGAGGAGAGACAGAGTGAGGGAGGGAGGGCACCTTGTGTTCATCAGAGTTTTATCGTTGCCTAAGTTTAGATCTTGGCTCACAGACGGCTTCTCAAGTAACAAGGCTGCAGGCTCACTTCAGCCACTCCACAGCGAGACAGACACAGAGCTCCACGCAGAGCTTTAAAGGGAGACGAGCAAAGGCACAGAAAAGTGGCAAGTCACAAGGAAATAATAGAGGCAGGAGAGAACGCCAAGCACTGCCATATGATGAGACATTTTAAGCAGAAGACAGAAACGTAGAGGGAGAAAGAGCACAAGTTGGACTATTTGGCTTGGAAACGGCATCAGTTTATCTCTGCTCTTTACCTACTGGAATTGGACAATGACAGAGGAAGCTGAAGTGGGAGGTGACCTCTCTCCAACCTCTGGGTCTGAGCAACAGGCGCCACATTTTCTGCAAGATGTCATCTTCCACGGCAAGTTTAAGGTGAGGTTCTCCACGAGAGACAAACAGCAGACAGACTGTGACCAGAGATAGACCACTGAATGAAATCTGTTCAGGTAGAGATGTAAATGTCATTATTTCAATCTAAGAGCAAACTAATTATTTGCATTTTTGCACTAGTTCATAATTTTTATGACTTTACAAATACCTATGCTGTGCAATACCCAATAAATAATGAAGAGCAAAAAAGAGTGTTGATCACCCTGCACTATCACTACTGCCTCAATCCCTGAGGAAGATGAAAGCAAAGTTTGTTCTTATTGACAGAAGGACTCACACTGCAGCTAATTCATGACTCTTCTCTGGTAGTCTGGGCAGCAGAGGGCTCATGAAAGAAGAGCTGGATTAGATCAGCAAGAAAGGAAAGGACGTGGGGCCTCCTTCATGAAAGCCTAATTTGATGATAACCTTTTGTCATTTTTGCTGAAACTATATCCTGGTAATCTATGGTTCCTCTGGCTCCTCCTAGTGCTCCTAACGGTATTTGCAAGAATCCAATGCTTGAAATAAAACAACCAATCAGAGCCGAGAAAGATAGTTGATTGTTCAGTCTCATTCCCAGGTCGTCAAATACAGAGTCTGAGGCACCTGGTTAGCTCAGTGAGTAGAGCTGGCGACCCATCTACCGAGGCTGAACCAGGGTTCGAATCTGACCTGCAGCCCTTTGCTGCGTGTCATCCTCTCCCCCCCCTTTCCTGTCTATCTTCAGCTATCACCATCATAAAGGCCCCAAAAAATACTTTAATAAATACAGACTCTGAGAATGAGACTCAGCAATCAACTATCTTCAAGCCTCCAACCCAAAGCATCTTTCTATCTTCTTGGCTCTGACACAGTGAAAGTTTCAGCAAATATGGCAGAAAGTGAATTTAAATAAAAAAAGTTACCTACTGCAGCTTTGACTTGATCTCAGAAACAGCAGCTGACTAAAGTCTCACAAGGTTAATTTAGTAACTGATCTGGAGCAACTCCTTTAAGTAAGTGATGGCGTGTGGCATAAAATAAGACACTATTTATGGCACACTTGAATACACAGATATCAGTTGCTAAACACCTGAGTGTTGCAGATGTGTGTGCAGTGTCTCTTGAGAGCCTCTCCGTGATCAGTGTCCAGTTCTTGTGACCTTTGTACTGTGTGTGAACGGACTGAGTAGTAAACAGGCCAGTTGCATGCTGTTTATCCAGGCCCAACTGCCTAATGATCCAGGCACCCATAAATCCAAATAGTTGATCTTGGTCTGGGTTGTATAAAAGCTCATTGACAAAATAATGATTGCTTTTGCTTATGTAGAGACATCTCACATTTTGTGGCTTCCATTGTTGTTTTGTTTATGTCCAGTGAGTAACATTTTGGAGGATCTATTGTCAGAAATTAAATATAATATTCATAGGTATGTTTTCATTAGAGTGAAAAAAATATGTTTTTTTTCACCGATTATCAGTCTCATATACAACTCTGGACATTTAAGCAGAGACCCTGAGTCGGGATTTTAGCAAAGTTCCTGAAGGTAACTAAAGTGTCGGTGTTACATATATGAGCTTTAACACATTAATACAGCAGCAAACAACTATTCTCTATGTAAAGATATAGTGGAGTCATGGTGTCACACTCTCTCTGCCTGTGTTGCTATCACAGCCTCTCTTTCCATTGTCAGTCTGCTCCATGTGCAACTGAGTAGAGCAACTGGAACTGCTGTTTTTATCATCTACGTCAGTGCATTAAGGATTTATTTCCACCAAACCGATGTTAGGATGTTACGATGACGTACAAATTAAAATTACTAAATTATTATTATTTTGTCTATGGAGTCTGGTGGCAAGCAATAGCAATATTACAGCTGTTGGAGGGTTGTAAGGATACTTTCCATAATGTTGTCAGTGTAAATGTAAAAATAACAATCTGAACCTTCCAGTGGCAAAAACAACAACTTTAAGTGGACAGACCTTGTCGGATGCATTTGGATTGGATGCAAAGGATTAGCTTAGCTATAAACTTCACATTTTTACATCTAACTTGGTGAATTAAGCCTAGGTTTATTTTGACCAAACCAGAGTTGGTGATAGTTGGAATTATATTATTATTATATTATATTCAATTGAAAGTTTTGTGCAAGGTAAATTGATTGTGTCTGTCTCTGGAGTCTGGTGGGCTGTAACACTCAGTTCTTTTGTCTGAGATGCTGGTGCTCTAGTAAGACATATAGTAGAACTGAATTTGGCATATATAACTTTTATCCCGCCAAAGCTGCTATTAACACCTGGTTCACATACGCTGCCTGAATGCGTGTCAGTCCTAAGTTTCCTGACACACGTTTCCCTGTATAATGTCTATTAAAAAGTTGTGATTTACCGATATGCATAAAAATCGGTACACGTGTAGATCTTATCCTGACATACAAAAAATCTCCCTGGAGTCATATCCTAAACCCAAAAGGAAGTCGGCCATTTTGGATTTAGTGGCCATTTCTGGCGATTTGCAGACATTGTATTTTAACGAACTCCTCCTAGGGAATTTATCGGCTCGACTAAACATGCCCGAAAACTCAAGAAACTTTGCACAAAATTCAGTCATGGCGAAGGCTTACATATTGTCTTGGTCCTGCAGATGGGCGTTGCAAAATGGCTTAGCCCCGCCCACCAGAATCAGCCCCCAACACACGTACAACCGACATGTACAAAAATTGGTACGCATGTGTATCATGATCGGACAAGCAAAAAAGCCTCATGGACCCATAACCCAAACCCAACAGGAAGTTGGCCATTTTGAATATCGTGGTCATGTTCTGCAATTTTTTCGCATTGTACTTGAACAAACTCCTCCTAGGGATTTTATTGCATCTACATCAAAATTGGTCAGTACAGTCAAAAAACATTGCTGAATGAAGTTGTGCTATTTGTGACTGTACGTCTAAGGGCATGTCTGTGTTGTAGTGCCAAAGTCTGCCATTTTGCATTTTGTGGTCATTTTCAGCGATTTTACGTGTTGTATTTGAACAAACTCCTCCTAGGGAATTTATCGGATCAACTTCAAAATTGATCAGTACAGTTAAAAAACAATGCTGATTAAAAGTTGTGCTATTTGTGACTGTACATTGAAGGGTGTGGCATTGAAGTCGGCCATTTTTAATCTTTTGGTCATTATTTGAACTCATATGGAATATATTGGATCAACTTCAAAATTGGTCAGTACAGTCATAACAAACTGATGATTAAAAGTTGTACATGAAACAGGAAGTACTCATAACGTCAGTGTATCTCCAATCCAATCTCCACTAAACTTCACATATTCTGTAACAGTCCCACCCTGAACATGGGCACACCCTGAGTGCAAGGGCCCGTTCCTTACTGCTTGCAGTTTTCATTGATTGTTGAGTCTCATTCTCAGAGTCACAAAGCATCTGCATTTGACACCTTGGAAATAAGACTCAACAATCACTGTCTTCAATCTTATTACAATCTTTCTTGGCTCTGATTGGTTGTTTTTGTTCAGGCCTGGCGGATTCTTGCAAATGCTGTGAGGAGCACTAGGAGGAGTCGAGGAACCTGATTTTTTCACAGATTATCTGTCTCATGTACTACTGTCAGGGTATAGTGAAAGTTTCAGCAAATATGACAAAAAGTTATTTATTATAAAAGATACCGACTGCAGCTTTAATGTCAGAGTTTAGGTAATCCAGTTACTGCCAATCATGAACTGGATCCAATATGGAACAGCTGTCAGAACCCAATCCTACACATGACTAGTAAACTGAGCTTCAAGTGTAAAATGGGCGGAGCTCTCCTTTAGATATCTGTGCATTCCATTTTGTGTAGTTTGATCTTTGACACCTTCGCTTAGATCTGCAGCCAGACTTCTGGAATAGACTTCATAGGGAGAAATACTATAATAGGCTCAGGTCATGACACAGCTCATAATTCACACACTATTTATGTCCTAATTTAATCGGAAGCACCACGGTGGGCATAGCAACTGCCACCTCTACTATGAGACCCAAGGTGCCCTCTTAGCTCCTGAAATCTTAACTTTCATTCGATGTGTCTGTCTGCCATCCAAATTCCTGATATGTGTAGGAAGAAGTGCTCTGAACCATGACTAAGATGCCAGATATTGGGGCATTGTGCCAAACATATGAATTGCACAGCTGCATAGCTGCATCTGGAGCTCAGGATGGACGTCAGAGCTCCATCTGTGTAAACTTCCACTCATACAAGTCAATAAATGTAAATTACTGTACACTAAATTGGTTTTACAGTGAGACCAGGATCATTAATTAAAGGTGCAGTCTCTCTCTACAAAGCAGCTGGTGCATTCATCACTTACTGGTTCAGGTTCATACTTGTATTTGTAAAATGTTCAAAAAACACATTATTATTTTTGTCATACTGGCCATTTCTGCAGCTCCTCATTCACCCTCTATCTGACACACTCCATTTTCTTTAAGGCAAGTCCACAGATACCAGTGAGGATAACCACCAAGCTAGTGAAGCTGATGCCAGCTGAGCTAAAACCAGCTGAGCTAGTACTAGCTGAGCTAATGCTAGCGCTGCAGTATAAAGTTACACAAAAATAATTACTGTCATGCAACCTACTACAACTGTTATTTCAAACAAGGCTTAACGTTGACACATTTACTGTCCCTCAATATTACAACGCTAGTGACATTGGCAAAATAAACAGTTAAGCAACATAAATAGGGCAAAATCTAGAGCTTCCAAGTCTGTAGTCGAGTAGCGGACAGCTAGGTTAGGGTTTAATCATTGTTTTTCTGTTATTGTGTTTTCTGCTGTTTCTCCGCTTGTGCATATACCTTGTGGGAGAACACACAGTCAAACAAAAAGTTTGTGAAACTTCACGTAATTTAAAAAGAACCGTTAACCTACTGTTAATGAGACATAATGACCAACAGTGACTGTGTGCACACCAGTAGCGTTTCCCACAGTCTGCAAGGGTTCCTGCATGAACCCACCAGTGAAATGGTCCATCCTCACAGATAACGTTTTAAGCATGGGAGTTTAGACAGTTCCTGTGATGCACTGTGAGGAGTCAATGCTCTTTGATTTGACCTGCTGAGGTCGCAGAGCGGCATCTTGTGGTCACGGATGTCAAAGCAACTTCATTAGTAATTTAATACATGTAAGATATTTACTGCATTACTTCTGAGAGACTATAGCCAGGGTTGGCTGTCCTTCCAAAATGTAGCCTGTTAACTTTTGATGAAACAGTTCTATCTGTGACATCCAAGCCACCTTTATCAGGGGTGGTGGGCTGAGAGCAGCATACAAATAAAAACAATTTCTATTAGCAGAAATGGAATATAATATTCATAGGTATGGCGCAGGTTGCCTTTGCATGTTTCTACAGTAGTCCAGAAGGGACAAACCAAACACTGGCTGGAGATAGGGCCGTTTATATTTTTTCATATTGGACCTTTAAAAAATGTGTGACAGTTAGGCCATGGGCCAAGGGTTGAGTGATTTGTTTTTTGTTTGTTTTTCAAAATGTAACATTTAAGAGAGCATTTTGAACATTTTCACTATTTACTATTCATTTATACTTGACTGGTTTTCATTACACGATGTCACTTGCTGGGTTATCTTTTTTTTCAAGTCACCATAGCCTGTATATTAGGGTTGAGAAAGTATACGGCTGAAAGAAGTATCTGGTACAGTTAATGTGCGAGTATCAAAACAACTAGTTAAAATGTGTCCGTATCTGCACCCGTAAATATACTAACTTTTATTAAAAGTAACTTGTGTGACTAGTTCTCTTACTATTGTGATCAAAAACAGCTCTGAAGCTCAATTCTGAGGCTGTTCTGTAAATAGTTTTCTAACTAATATTGTAACTTCTGATCAACCAAGTTTAAATGAACCACTTCCAATTAATACCGCACACTAATGGTTTAACCACCACTCCACCGACTTCGAGTACAGATAGGAATACAGATAATTTAGTTAGCTGAACAGATGCAGATAATGTGACACCGAGGATTTCTAGATGGAATTGTTGCACCTTGGTACTTTAGTCCCCGTAGTCCGGCAGAGTCAGCTAGGACCACTGCAGCTGCACAGCACTCTGATTTCTGTTTCATGTGGACTGTAAGTGGGCCGAATTAGCATGACCCTCAGTTGCCAACATCAAAAGAAGCAATCCAAGTGGTCTGGCCTTTTTAATGAAATTTCTCACAAACCTCTGCCTCCACCTGCAGTTTCCTGTGTCCTAAATCCTTTCCCCTCTCCCTGCCTGCCCCCGTGTGCATGCTTTCAGCTGCTGAAGGCTCTAACCCCAGAGGAAAACTCCCTCTGCCAGCACGGCCTCTACTTCCAGGACGGTCAGCGGCGCGTTGACTACGTCCTCACCTACCCCGTGAAGAAGCCGTCCGCGGGGCGCTCCAGCCGACAGTCAACGCACCTGCTCACAGAGAATGCCGTCGCCCGCAGCCTACGCCGCAACCAACATCTCCGACATCACCCGGCACAGAAGGCAAGAGACTCATCGTCCCTGCTGTCGTCTCCAGCGGCCGACGTTGAGCTGGGCTGCCCGGGAGAGACCTTTGGCGGCCAGGAGGATCACAAGGCGTTCAGGAGGGAGGAGTTCGAGGGGAAACTGAGAGACATGGGGCTGGAGCTGGAGAAAGATGAGGATGTAAGTTTACATCTTTATTCATTTATTCATTCCAGAAACAACTCCACCTAAAATCTATTTCTAAGGTTCTCTGTGGACAGAAAGACTGTCAATTTGCAAAGGTTCTCTTCTGAGTTTAGAGGTTTATAATCCTGGTTTAGCACACTTACAGGTCTAATTAGTGGACTGCAAAACAGGGATCAGTGATCATCCTTTGTTACTTACTTTGTACGACTCAGAGGTAAACCCATACAGCTCAGATCACATTTCTTTTGTTTGGCTGTTCACATTATTTTTTAAATGCTCATTCCAGTGTTAACAGTTCATGGACCTGAAGTGACCTGAAGTGGATGTCAAGCTAGAGTGACGTAAAAGTCACATGTATTCTGATATGACCGTTTACACTGAGTTACCACTGACAATGTGGTCCAAATCAGATACTTTTTGCAATGTGATGAAAAGATCAGATTCTGTGTGATCTGACCATTTACACTGTCATCTAAAATCTGATTTGGGCCATTAGTGTCTGCAGTGTGAATGTAGCACAATATTTCAGCTGATTACTCTGCTCTTAATTTAGGTTAGTGAATTGACTTCCTCAATCTTTGTTGTTGTTATTCTGATTTATTCATCTTACCTATATCTGACTGAGGTTTATGCAAGTTAGAATCTGTGGCTCCGACCATGGCTCTGAAATATCAGGAACTGCGCTGTGTATTGATCAATCCATGGCGCTGTCCGTGGTGCTGAAGCAGCAGATGGATTTGTGATTGTGCCTTTTTCTCTCAGCATTGTGGAGGACTAAAAGTGCCACAATTAAATAAATAAATACACCATTAAATAATTACTTAAATGTGTTATTAATTAATTAAAATTGGAATTAAATACATAAATGTGTTATTAAATGTGTCATTAATTCATTGAAATACCGATTCATTTTATGTAAAAAACATATATAATTATTTCACTGTTTATTTAATTATTTCATGGTCCTGCGTTGCAGTGCTTCATGAATTACTTTAATCTGTCAAACTCACCCTTCAAAGTTGGTAGGCGGATCCTAACACTTAATTGGTTACCCTGGGCATCAAGCCAAGGCAAATCAATTCCAGATAATGGATTGATGCATAACTAGTGAACACATTCCAATACATTATTGCTATTGGACTACTTCTTCTAAATCTGCAGTCACTCAATGGTCAATATCTTGGTCGGAAAGTGCGGAAATAACTCCAAGAACTTCAATAAGTTCCTCTGGTTTACTCACTTCATGCTCTGGGTCAGCAGGTCCTGCTTCCACATCCTCTATTAAGTCTAAAATGTCTAAGTCTAAAAAATAGTGATTTAGTGTTTAACTTTAGAAAAATAAAGTGTAGCAGCAGCTTGAGTTTCCCTTTTTCTTTTTTAACTGTTTCATATCTTGATTAACAGTCTCAACAAAGTTTATAAGAAATGAAAATCAACACATCTTTACAAATGAACAGTTTCTCTTTCTTTCCCTCTTATATCTTACGCACCCACTTTCTGTTGTTCAGTGAGAGTATTGAGCTCTAACCTCTCTCCCTTGTTGGGCAGTGAATGAATGGGTCAGGATACTGGTTGATTGATCATATTGGGATCTGAGACTGCTTATTTTCTGTGACCAGACTTGAGTGGGTTTGTTTGATGAAAACTTTGTGTTTTGTCTCATAGTGGCGTTTCACAGTGGCACTTTTAATCAGTGCCACGGTCTCTGAACATGAGACACGCTGGTTATGTGCTCCCAGTGGGAAGAATGAATATGAATGAATCTGTCCATTCCGGGTTAAAAGCTCTATTTTTACTATCCACTTTTCTCTTTTTGTTGTCTCGCACTCACTCATCTCTCCGTTTCCTCTCCATGTATCGCTAACTTCTCTTTCCGTCTGTCACTCGCCTCTCATCGCTCTCATATCTGTATTCAGAGTCGGGCTGTTTAAACAGATTTGATTGGCTGAGCAGCATCACATGGGATGGCTTAACTCACAATGCGATTGGTCTGTGAGCTTCCTGATCCGCTAAACAAATACCGTAAAGACTTGAAAAGCTGTGCTGGTTAAAATAGAAGCGCCCCATCAAAATTTAGAATCCCTCAATAATGAATTGATTATATGTCTGGGTCTGCATAGGACGGTGTCTGGGTCCGGACTCGGACCACGGTCTGCCCTAAAAAGTTCATGAAGATCCTCCATCGTCTCTATCCAGGCACTCTACCTCAGACCAAAGCAATGGATCACACTAGATTTACGTTAGCCCCACCCACTGACTGTGATGGGTGGGTTTGACAGATTAAAGTAATTCATGAAGCACTACAACGCAGGACCATGAAATAATTAAATAAATAGCGAAATAATTATATATGTTTTTTACATAAAATGAATAGGTATTTGAATGAATTAATGACACATTCAATAACACATTTATGTATTTAATTCCAATTTTAATTAATTAATGACACATTTAAGTAATTATTTAATGGTGTATTTATTTATTTAATTGTGGCACTTTTAGTCCTCCATACAGCATGCCTTCTGCACAAAAGGGTGCAGATTAATGCAGTTTGTTCATAGAGTTTATTGCACTAGGCATAAAAAATCCATTATAGATCTTTTTGTCCTGTGTACAGCTGCACTGTAAAGATCATCCAAACAAATACCTGTTTTTGTCACATGGCCATACCAGACAGAGATATTAAACACAGGAATGCTGTCTATCAGGCTGAGATACACTTTTTTCCAGAATGTCTACTGACCCCTAACCCCTTTAGTTTTTATAGAATCAACATTGCTAGTGGAACTCAATTTGTCATCCATGTGTGTTCCTACTTATTTAAATATATGCAATAAATACTCAATTCTGTACTATATTCTAGCCTATATATAGTCTATAGTATAGACCAAAAGTCACTTTCTCCAACTAATTCAGAATGCAGCACATCGGCTTCTTATTCGTTCTAACAGACAACAACACATCACTCTAATCCTAGTGTGTCCATTGGCTCCCTGTTCGTTTTAGATTTTAGGATTTAACTGATCACTTTTAAAGCACGCCTGGGTCTGCTCCCAAACTATATAGCAGAAATGTTGACCCCTTACAAGCCAGTTTGCTGCCATAGGTCCTTAGGTAGGGCTTTACTGGCTGTTCCAAAGTCAAGGCTTAAATCTAAAGGTGACCGTGCTTTTGCCTTCAGGACCCTTCGGCTTTGGAACAACCTGCCTGAGTGGATAAGGATGATTCACTTCTTGAAATCCATATTATAGACTTGTTTTTTTAATCTTTCTTGGTAATGGAGAGGATACCTAGATTATAAAACCCTCCTCTGTGAGCCTGATTTCCACAGTTGATTCCATTATATATGAATTAAGATAGAACTCTTATGATTTGTCATTACAGTTTTTACTGATTGCTTGCAGTCTTGCACAGAATTTGAATTATTGTGTCAAAACTCCACACACAAGCCCAATAAGACACAGCACTTCGAGATAAAGATCTAATTCTATATATGTACTTCAAGTTAATACACCTGTTTTTACTGTGCAGCACAGACCTCCATTAATACTGTATTGAAGGACTACACTATTTTGTGCTGTGATGCAAGATGATGTGCAACAATTACATAGGTGTGCGAAGTTGAAGACATAACTGTCTAAATGTCACTACCATGTGACTCAGGTTGGGCTGGACTCTCTGCCCAGCCTCCCTCATTGTCGGGCCATGATTTATCACATGGTCCACCAGAGTGGCCCTAATGTCATCAGAAATATATGTCTGTCTGTCTTTTGCTCTTCTTTGTCCTTGTCCTCTCTCTCTCATGGCTTCCATGTTTGCAGAGTTTTCACAAAAGAGGTGAGCTCATCTGAGGTCTATTTGCAGTGCAGACTGATTGTTCAATCAGTGTAAGTGTTTTTGTATGTGGGTGTGTGTGTTTGTGTGTGTGTGTGTGTGTGTGTGTGTGTGTGTGTGTGTGTGTGTGTGTGTGTGTGTGTGTGTGTGTTGCTAATTTTAGGTGTGTTTTGCATTTTGAATAGAAGTGTTTCCCAGTGATTGCAAGACTTTTTTTTCTTGTACAAAATGTCTAAATGTCAGAAACAGAGTGTAGTGTTGCAGAATTGCAAATGAAGTGCAAGCAGTAAATGTGTGTACTTTTGGTGCTTTTGTTTAAGGGATGGTTACAAAGGTTTAGCTGCAACCTGCGGCTACAGATCTGCATGTGACTCTTTAGCCCCCCTCCAGTGGCTCCCCATGACTTTAACAAAACATATATGGAAATAAATTAGGGTTTTTCTTTTGTTGTTGTAGGCCTAAAGTAATAAAGTAAAATTCTTCAATTGTAAAACATTTTGAATATACAAGCGTACTGTAAGTGAGAATAAGAAATGTATTGAGAGTCAGATGGACCCACTGGGAGGATGATGAGTTAAGGCGAAAAGATGAGTCTTCAGTTTAGATTTAAAGGCATCAGCAGAGTCAAAATGTCTGATATCACCAGGGAGGTCATTCCAGAGGAAGGGGGAGTGATAGGGAAAGGCCCTACTGCCTCCAACTTCTAGGGACAGACAGGGGCCCTGTATTCTGACAGCATAGAGCACGGGTTGGGATATACATTTAAGGTGCTTCATGAGAATTACCTTAAATTCTGATCTGTATGGAAGCCCAGTTCCGCCAATGTGACAAAAAACTAAAAGATTCTGTAAGTCATTATAATGAGAAACTTCCTCAAAATAATGAGAAACTCTCACATAGTAAGTCAATACTTTGAGAAAGTTTCTCATTATAATAACTCACAGAAAGAAGATTTTTGAGCCTCAACATTCAACTATCTTCCTTGGTTCTGATTGGTTGTTTTTGTTCAGGCCCTGTGAAGCCAGAGGAACCTGATTTTTTCACAGATTATCTGTCTCGTGTACTACTGTCAGGATATAGTGAAAGTTTCAGTGAATATGACAAAAGATTATTTTCATAAAAATACCTACTGCAGCTTTAAGGAAAAAGACAGGTACAGAAGGAATATCCACTTATTGAAAAACATAATGAAGACTAGTTTAATATGAATATTTTACACAAGGTCTAGGCTGACGTTTTTGAATGTAAACTGCATTTTTAGACACGTGTGGACATGGCCTCAGTTTTGTTTCTGTTTAACTACTAGAAGTTAGGAGACTTCTGAATGTCTTCAACAATTTAAGTGGCAGCCAATTTCTGTAAAACTATTTGCAGAGTTGCAGCTTAGATATATCTGTGTATCAGCCGTGTAAAAGTGTAAACTGATATTCTGCCTATGTATAAGATGTCCTAATGCCAGCATATAAATAGAAATTAAGGCTCTCAACAGCAGTGATTTTGAAAGGCTGGCCTGAGGTTTCCCTTGCCACATAGATGTTCTTGATTTCCTATTTTCCAGAAAGTGGGCACAAGGGCCAAAAATGGTGTACTCTAATTCTAATTCAGCACAACCCTAAACATAACATAACCATGTAAAAAACATGTAATACTCCTTATGCCTTTAAATAATAATAAAAAACGGGGTAAGTTGTATTTGCTAGTGGGGTAACCTGACTGAGCCAGATGGTTTCTTACATAGAACCATCTGGGAAGTTGTCACTGGAAAAGGTAGGCACTTTTCAAAAAAATACTCGTGATTGGATGAGCCATCTGTCTATCACTGTCATCAGATCAATGACCCATACAATTGATCTCAACCACAGAAGTGCATAGTTTAAAGCCTTGATTCTTGCATGATCTCGTGAGCCTAGCTGCCTAGCAAGGTTAGCAGTGGAGCACCATGGAGCAGAATGCCGTGATGCATTTCTGGTGAAACAGTTCCAAACCCTGGTCAAGATTTAAATTGTTTTGTTAAGTATAACTGCTACACATCTGTAATGAAAACACACAGGGAACTAATAACTATCTAGAAGCACATAGAGGCCAACTTGTTTTCGAGCATGTTGGACAGCAATGTCACCATATTTTGTTTTTACCCATATCAGCACCCTAGGGAGCACATCATCACTTTGCCGTCGCTTGCACATTGGACCGTTGTAGAGCAGTGCTGTAGTCAAAACCACCTTTGTTGAGTCCAAGACCAAGACTAGTCAAGGCTGACTCAAGATTGAGTCCAAAGAGGTTTGAGTCCAAATGAGAGAGTAGACAGTCAAGACCAAGACAGACAAAAGGAATTTGCCAGTGAGGTGAGTTTTGGCAGTCAGGCATACTACTAGTTACTAGACGGCCAGTGTCTGAATAAACATGCTTCATCAGTGGTTTTGTTTTGAAGGAAGAAGTTACTTTAGAAAAAAAATATATTGTTGGACTCAGTTGAGACCAACTAGAATGTTTGGCCAAGTCCGAGTCAATAGAAAACAGCACTGCTATAGAGGAGGGCCCTTTATCATGATTTATCTACCAAAAGGGGCACTTTTACAGCATTACAGAGTCCACCTGTGACACAGCCCTCTACGCACATCAGACTGGTTGGCTATAACTTTGTATTCTGCGTGTTTACGCAGATTGTTGCGGCTCAATATTACCGAGCTTCATGATGTCCTTTCCAATGTCTTTTTTTCAGTTTTCTAGACTTTCATGTTTTATTCTTGAAAAGCATTTTGGTAAAGACACTACTATATCACAAAATGTGCCATGTGATGTGACAATTTTCAACATGTAGTAGAATTAAGACTGACTGATAATATCTTGTATGTCTCTTAGACCAAGGTTACAGGGGTAGGCTTTGTGAAGATTCATGCTCCCTGGAACGTTCTCTGTCGAGAGGCTGAGTTAATGAAACTAAAGATGCCCACCAAGAAGGTAAGACTTGCTAATGGTGAAGTTGCAGATTGCAACCATTTAAATGCAGCTCAGCTTTCAAAGATCTATGAAATGTTATGGTAAATATTAGCATGAAACAAGCATGCAGTTAAACCTACCTGTCCTCAAACTGTGTGTGTGTGTGTGTGTGTGTGTGTGTGTGTGTGTGTGTGTGTGTGTGTGTGTGTGTGTGTGTGTGTGTGTGTGTGTGTGTGTGTGTGTGTGTAGCGCGTGTGTATTTTTTGTTGGGATTACTAGATGTATGAAGTCAAGCAGTCAAGCGGTGTTGTGGAAAAGATCAGCTCTCTGGTCAGTAAAGTTCTGGAGCCCCTCCGCCCTCATGTCGAGGAACATCATACCAAGAACATCAAACACCTTTCACACACCTTTTCCAGGGAAAAACAACACCTGTAAGTACACCAGTTTGGCCCTTGTAGCCTGACATTGTACATTGTACTGGTCATGTGATATGTGTGATAAAGCTATTTTGCTCATGGTCTAGCCATTGTAGAAAAAATGTGTTACCCAACCCTCTGGTAACACATTTTTTCTAAAATGGCTAGACCATGAGCAAAATAGCTTTATATATATTTCATAAAGGAGGCCTACTGAACCTAGCAAACTGAACAAGAATTCAGTTGTTTTATAAAGCAGACTCTGAGTAATTGTGATCAGACGAAGTTAAGCCTGGTTTAAGAACCATTGGTTTGTTTGTTTGTTTATAAATCCAGCCCCTGTGGCACTTCTCATTGTCCCCCATCATCTTCTTCATGTTCATCATCATCATCATCATCAGTCACTACTATTAGTGTAGTTGTTGCTACTGTTGTTGCTGTGCATCTTTGTCTATGTCTCTGTCCTTCTGTCTTTACCTCTCTGTCTCTCTCTCTCTCTCTCTCTCTCTCTCCCTCTTTCTCTTTCTCACCCCAACTGGTCGAGGCAGACGACCACCCACCTAGAGCCGAAGGGTCTGTCCTAGGTTTCTGCCTCTTAAAAGGCAGTTTTTTCTTGCCCCCGTCTTGGTCTTGCTCATGGTGGTACTGTTGGGTCTCTGTAAATAATGTTATAAGGAGTTCGGTCTAGACCTGCTCTATTTGAAAAGTGTCCTGAAATAACTCCTGTTATGAATTGGCGCTATACAAATAAAACTGAATTGAACTGAATTTAATTGTGGTTAGAAATGATAAGGTAGAAAACATTAACTGGCTGTGCTGTGTCACTACGCACCATTTACTTAAAAAACAGTTTTTTGTTTGTAGTGAGTGACTTCGTAAGTAACTGTTTATGTTACCCATCATCCATCGTATCAATAAGTCCACCAGTTTTTGTTTTGTGAACAGTGAAGTTGGAAGTTAATTTCTGCCAATAAATCCTCCTAAATGTTACACCCTGGACCTTTAATGAAAGATGGCCAGATAGTAGTAGTAGTTTTTAATGGAGGTGAAAATATTTTCCATGGAGCTGTAATCTCTTAGTTTACCATTGTGTAATATATATGGTGTTCCTTGATTTCAAGTTCATGACATGGATAGTTTCTTGGAAACAGAGTACTATGAGAGTGAGGGGAGGTAATGGGAGCAAAGGAAGAGGCATAGTGAGTCAGTGATTTCTTTCCAGAAATGTTTAATGGGTGTTCAGTGCCAGGTGGAGCTCACTCATGTTCACTCATACAGTAGCTACGTATATGAGCTATTTTGAGTGCAACACAGATTTCTAATAAGAATAAAATGTTTTGCCCAGTGAATTCTGTAGAGAATATTACACTGTATGAGGTTGCCATTTGTAGTCTGCCAGTTTTGTTCCAGAAGTTGGCATCAGGAGTGATGGATACCTCTAGTCCCCATTTTATTGATGCAGTTTTGACATATTGTGATATTATTCTATATATTTTGCAAAAGAGTTCTTTGGAGAAAGGGATGTTGATTAACTCGGACTTTGAGGGAGGAAGATCTACATTGGTGGCCATTATGTGAACTTTTGTTTGGATGATGATTTATGTTGCTATATGATGCTGTACGATCAAGTGGTAGGATGAAACAAGGGTGTTATTTTGGAAAAAATGTTTGGTGCCTTTTTCATGGGTGTGCAAGAATTAAAGGTCCAGTGTGTAACATTTAGGAGGATCTATTGGCAGAAATGGAATATAATATTCATAGCTATGTTGTAATTAGTATATAATCAGCTGACTTTTGAACTGCCATGTTTCTACAGTAGCCCAATGGACAAACCAAACACTAAATAAGGCCACTGTAGTTTCTCCTACATACTTCACAGCCCGTCCTTATTCCCAGGTCAGATGTGAGCAGTGTTTGGTTAGTTGCAATCTGCAACCTCACTAGTAGATGCCACTAAATCCCACACACTGGTCCTTTAAGTGCATTTCTCATTAATTAAAGAAGTGTGCATCCTTGCCTGGTCCCCTGTGCAGTATGACTCTTTAAGATGTTTGTCCATTGGTGATGTAATAAGTAATAATTTTTTTAAATTACTATTTATAGTGCAAATGATGTGATAAACATGAAAACAGGAAGCCATATGAGACATGACATGGCAATACAGAGAAACAATGACAACAACTGAGAAACAAACAAACAGTTGACCAGCTTCGGGATGGATTATGGATGGTAGTGACTTTCTATCATGTGAGCTACCTTTCACATTTTTGTGAGTTTCTTCTACACCCTCTGAAGGCGAGTGCTATTCATTTGGTTAGAATCTGTAACTTTACCACAAGATACCTTCTATCCTACACAGTGGAGCTTTATGTTCTTTTCAAAAATGTTGTGTTGTTGGGTGCCTGGTTAGCTCAGTGGATAGAGATGGCGACCCATGCCTGCCCCCCTTTCCTGTCTGTCTTCAGCTATCCTATCAAATAAAGGCAATAAAAAGCCCCAAAAAATACTAAATACTAAAAAAAAAAAAAATGTTGTGTTGCCATAGACTGTGGTGTTGATTACAGTCAGTCTGAACTTTAACAGACAGTATTTTGTGTTTGTGTGTGTGTGTGTGTGTGTGTGTGTGTGTGTGGTGTGTCAACAGGTTTGACCTCTCAGACAAAGATTACTTCTTTGACAGCAAAACCAGGAGTTCAATAGTAAGTGTGCTGAAGTTCACCTGTGACGTATCCACCAACACCAAACTATCCAGTTAAACATGACTTATTCTGATGCTGGTGGTCACCTGTTGTATTGACAATTTTCTTTTTTCCTTCAATAATGTCTTAACAGAGATTTAAAAAAAAAACCTGTATCATTCAGACACCAAATGTATTATTTACGTTTGAAATAGCTTTGGCCCAAAAGGAAAGAATTTTATGATTAAAATCCTCCATTTAATCCCCACAGAGCAGTATGAAAGGGGAGGATACTGTTATTAACATTTTTTTCCCCACATACCCTCACACTGGGCTCTAAATATTTTGGGAACCTGTTTTTATTTGACTCAGTTTACTCAGTGGTAGATTGAACAAGATTGAAGCTGCAGTAGGTAACTTTTACAAAAAATATTTTTTTCATATTTGCTGAAACTTTCACTATATCCTGACAGTAGTACATGAGACAGATAATCTGTGAAAAATAAGGTTCCTCTGGCTCCTCCTAGTGCTGCAAGGATCCACCGGGCCTGAACAAAAACAACCAAAAGATAGTTAGTTGATCAGTCTAATTCCCAGGTCATCAGATACCAATACTTTGGGTAAAATATTAAATTTCTTAGAGCATCTATATTTGACAATTTAGGAAGAAGAGTCAACAATCAACTGTCTTGGCTCTTATTGGTTGTTTTTGTTTAGGCCCGGTGGATTCTTACAAATGCAATTAGGAGCACTAGGAGGAGCCAGAGGAACCTGACTTTTCCACAGATTATCTGTCTCATGTACAACTGTCAGGATATGTAGGTAAAAATTAAGGAAATATGACAAAAAGTTATTTTTTATAAAACTACTGCAGCTTTAAACTGTGATTTGTCAGTCCATAGTATGTTCAGCTAATATTAAGTAGTGCTAACCCTAGACCAACCTTCTATTTCAATGTTTAAGGTTCATGGGTAAAGCAACACACTTGTTAATTGCAGTTTGTTAGAGACATTATTGTGCACCTGTCACTGTAACAGGAACCTGAGAAGATTTTGATGCTAAGCCTCCATTTCTTATATTCTTACTGAACTGTTGCTCAGAGGGATCGTTGTCTTCTTTCTTTTGCAAACCCATCATATTTACATCTATTTATAAAGAGGGCTTCCTACAACCTGAAAGCATGAAAGACCATTCAGAAATATAGAGCAGTCCTCAAACATTAGAAAGACCAGAGCTAACAACTAAAGTAACAGTTTTTAACATCCCCAAAGATAAGAAGGAAGCCGAGCACAGCCTGGCAGCTGTTTGTTGTCCATGATGAGGGGATGGTTCCATCCTGTCCCACCATGTCTCTGTCATATTAAAGTACAGACACCATTTATTACATTTCAATTAAATATATACCTGGACTGTCACAATGAGTAGTAGTACCCCCAATACAATGCCCAACTACTCATTGTGACAGTCTGGACATGTATTTAATTGAATTGTCACAAATGGTAATAAAATGGTGTCAGGGATTTGCTTGAGGCCATTATTGCAATTGCACATTAAAGCATTTGCACTTTTTTTAGCGTGTTTTAGTTATTTTATGTACACTTTTAATATTTTCTATGAATATTTTCTTCAGGAGCATGCTGAATTAACTTCTTTTGTCCTGCTTCCCTTTAAGGTTTTTGAAATATTAAAGAGGACAAAATGCAAAGCCAAGTACAGCATGGGTAAGTTTGGATCTCTATATCTCTCACTGCTTGACATAACAGCACTGCACAAGATAAGATTAACTTTTACAGATGTGTTTTAAAGCTGCAGTAAGTAATTGTAATAGTAGTTTATCATATTTGCTGAAATCAGGTTCCTCTGGCTCCTCCTAGTGCTCCTAACGGTATTTGCAAGAATCCACCGGGCCTGAACGAAAACAACCAATCAGAGCAGAGAAAATTATATACACACTTTAGGTCGAAGGCTTCAATTCAATTCAATTCAATTTTATTTGTATAGCGCCAATTCATAACAGAAGTTATCTCAGGACACTTTTCAAATAGAGCAGGTCTAGACCGAACTCTTAAGGCTTGAAGGTAGTTGATTGTTGAGTCTCATTCACAGGGTCGCAAAGCATCTGTAATTGGAAACAACAATCAATTATCTTTCGTATAAAAATGTGAAGCCCACATTATCACCTGCATTTGTTTCTTCCCGGCAGGAATCACCAGTCTCCTGGGTAGTGGAGTCTATACAGCAGCTTACCCTCTTCATGATGTGAGCAGTACCTGTTGCTAATAGATTATCATTGATGGTGGTAGTTTCCAGTTACAGTGTCTTCATATGCTTAACAAGACAAGTTGAAAAGATGCCAGAATTAGAAAACTAAACATTTCTTTAAATTAGCCCATCTGAGATGATAAATCCTGGTTTACAGTCTCCAGTCAGTGTGTACAGTAAATGGCTTCAGTGTTTCTCTTTACTTTTTCAGGGAGATATTAATGAGGAGAGTGCAGAACCCAATGACAGAAAGGTGAGAACGTTATTTTTTAACTTATGCAAGCCAGTCTAAAAGCCTTCACATACTGGTGTTCATGTTTTGCATTTGTACAGTTTGACACACTTGCACATATAGAGGCCAAAATGTCCCCCACTTCCAAAGATGGGAAGCTGGTGTATTTCACAGTTGATGTTGAGCAGTACAGAAGTGAATATATATAGTCATGAAGTCACAGTCAATGACACAGGAGATGGAACTCCACCAAACAAAAGACAAATAAGACAAATATCGCAGTAGAAAAAGGCTAAAGGCATGATACATTTGGACAAATAATGTAACAAAATATTGTTGATTGTCTTCCCGTTCAGCTTTTGTATGAGGAGTGGGCAAACTACAGTGTCTTTTACAAGTACCAGCCCATCGGACTTGTGCGGTAAGGAAATATTCCTTTGGTTATATAATTCACTGCCAATCATCCTTTTGTGTTAACAACTCTGATACTCTGAAATATCCTCCTATTCATCAACCAGGGCTTTTATTTTGAAGGACTGTAATTCGTAATTATTTGCCACAGTGTAATCCCTGACAGAATTTTAAAGAAGGGGGTCAAATCTGCCATGTGTTAAATGGTTAATTGTTTGGATTGCAACATCACTGAATAGCAGTGACTGATTTGGTTGTGTATTAGCAATAAGCAGTTCAGCCAGTGATGCTGTCCCTGCTTCTGCCTCGTGGCTGGGCAAGAGTGCGTGAGGCTGGTTACAGTGCTGTAGTATTCAATCTGGACTCGAGATGTTTTTTCTATTGTCTTGGATTCATTTGTATTTGCACTCAGAACACTGATAAGGCAGGGTATTGGTTTAATTCAAAATCCATCAAGCCGTAGTGTCCTTAGGGGATGTCCCACAACCTGAAACAAAAGCGAGGGTTTGAGGAATTTTACCAGCAGGATTTCAGCAAGAAACCAGAATAGTGATATTTGATCAAATCAACAGTAAACACATTTAACAGTGAAAAGAATCCTGTAACTGACTAAATGGAACCAGGGGGCTCGCATCTTGAGTCATGCGTGTGATTGGGCTTAGGCAACAAAAGCACTTGGTTGGCTGGCTCTTGGTAAACTTTGAAACAAATAATTTGTTAATCCAAGTGGACTTCCCGGATTATATTTTATTGTCTCACCAGTACCTTAAACAACACACCAACGCTGCACCCTAGGCTGTTTCAACACAGACAGGTCGGAATCCTCGCTTACTTTAGACTCTGGAATTTGACAACCTTGGAAATCTGTACAGTTCAGATTCAAATGTCAAATGAGTGATGCCAACATTGTAGTTTTGTCTAAATAATTGAAATGAGTTCCATCTTTTTGTGTTGTTTAGGAAGTACTTTGGAGAGAAGATTGGTCTGTACTTTGCCTGGTTGGGTCTGTATACACAGATGTTGATTCCTGCCTCACTAGTGGGGGTCATTGTCTTTCTGTATGGATGTGCAACAGTCGATGACAACATACCAAGGTAAACACACACAAAACATACAGTTTAATAAGCAGAGACATAAAGCGAAGTCTGAGTTTTTTTAATTGAAGGCCACTGTATTCACTCATTCTCTGCTAATCATGTTTTCTTACATCTGGAGATTTGTATGCCAGGGAATCTCTTTAGAACTGCAGTACTTCTATTAGTCTGTCAATGGCGTTATATCCCCTTTGTGCCTGCGTCAGCGTTGTGGTTGTCTGCCAGAAGCTGTCATACATTGACTTTTTATCCAGTTTGAAGCCACATCTACCATCCACTGTTTCGGGCTTTCCACACAATATGGAGTAGCCATCTAGTGAGAGAAAGAAGCCAGCTAGCTAGTGGCAGAAATTACATACTGAACGATTAACAAAGCATCATAAAATAGGTATTGATGCCAATCAGGTTTTGGAAATTCTTAAGGCACCTTTCACGAGCATTTACAATCATTCTAAGAGTTAGGATTTTTTTGGAAAACAACTGTCTGTAAGATTATAGATTATTGATTGAATCAACTACATATAGAACATAGAGCTAGAGTTTATCCACTGTTTAATGATTATAGATCATTGATTGAATCAACTACATATAAAACATAGCTCTAGAGTTTATACACTGTTTAATGATTATGGATTATTGACTGAATCAACTACATATAGAACATAGCTCTAGAGTAGAGAGAGAAATGTTACATATTCTAGCTTTAAGATGCTGTTGGAAAGGGCTCTGAGACATGAGGTTGATATTTATCTTCTAATCTCACTTTTGTGAAAAAATTAAATAAGTATAATTCCCAAAAGGTTTGACTATTCTTCTAGGTAAATTAAATATTAGGACTCAATAATGGACAAAAAGCGTTGCTAAATTCTTAACAGTGTTAGACATCAAGAAAACCAAAGTGAATGAGGAAATAAAAACAGAAGAACAAATACAGAAAGAGGGAGACAAAGGAAACAGTTTGATGAATGAGTTGAGAAAGTGGGGCCTCTTGTCCTTCCTCCACCTGCCTCTCATCATCCACAGGATATTATGACACATACTGCCGGCTCGCATTTGCTCTCAGTGCAGACACACACCACACACGCTCAGTAGACGTGTTAATGTCAGAGTCTCACCCGGGCCCACAACCACACAGTAAGACAAAGCAGACCTCCGGTCTGTCTGTGTCAAAATGATTCCAGTGTGTTCAGCAGTGTACAGTGTCAGGAAGCACTGCTGCAGTGAGACTGAAGGAATAACAGCCGATGTCAATCTTCCAATACTCTCAGATCTGGAGGACACCAATTATAGGGCTGTTATTGCAATCATATTAAAGGGTTAAAAAAATGTATACATTTAAATATAAACATTACTTTTCTCATGTCCTCTATGAACATCTCTACAGAATAACTTTTTTTAATAAAGAGAAAGGCTGAAAGAGTAACTCGCTCAACTAGCTGAATCCAACACTATATTAGGATAAAATCAACAAAATACAATACAAGGTAGAGGTACACGGAGAGATATAAAATCATTGTATTTCACAATTCCAAAGCTCCTTTGGCTTCAAGAATCTAAGTGGGAGGTTGAATCCACTGGGCCTGAAAACAACCAATCAGAGTCAAGATAGAGACTTGGGTTTGGATTGTTGACTCTCATTCCCAGTGTCTGTATTTGACCTGGAAATGAGACTCAATAATAGACTATCTTTCTCAGATCTGAAGTGTTGTTTTCGTTCAGGCCAGGTGGATTCTTGAAAATGCCATTAGGAGCACTAGGAGGAGCCAGATTGTTTCACAGATTATCTGTCTCATGTACTACAGTCAGGATATAATGAAAGTTTCAGCAAATATGACAAAAAGTTATTTATATCACCTGCTGCAGCTTTAATATAGATCTGTCTGATTACAAAATGTATGTTCAGTAATTTATACTAATAACATGTGTTCTATACATACATACATACATATAGTTTTAGCTTTTAACAGACAAAATTCAGGCTTAGTTTGATCCATTCATACCTTTTGTTATCAGATAAAGGTGCTTTGTTGAAAGTAGATATTTCCTTCATGGATCTCCTCTTTCCATTGAATGCCTCTACTTCTACTGGAGTACAGATTTTCAGTACGCCTTCCACCACTGGAAGTCTCTGTTTTCTGTATATATAGCAAATTATACTGATTGGTTGATTTTGTCAGATGACGTTGCAACCATGACCTCCACGGTTTTGATGCAGTTTTGTTGTTTGCCAACAGAAAAGGGGGAGGAGAGGAAGGGTTTTAACCATTTTGATGTTGTTCAGGTGTTAAACTGTGGACAGAGGTCTTTACTAAAACAACGGACATGCTAGTATGGATGTATGTCAATAGTTAACTAGCTACTAGTGTGTGTGTGTTTCTTGTTTTCCAGCATGGAGATCTGCCACCCAAAGAACAACATCACCATGTGTCCTCTGTGTGACAGAGTGTGCAGCTACTGGAAGCTCAGTACTGCCTGTGGAACCGCCCGGGCCAGTCACCTTTTCGACAACCCTGCCACTGTTTTCTTTTCCATATTCATGGCTCTGTGGGGTGAGTTACCACACATCAGCTCACTCAAAAAAGTCTACCTAGCTAAACTCTGTCGTCATTTCAGAGGCTGTAGTTTGTGGTGCTCTTCAATTGACTCATTCTTAAACCAGATAATCACCCAAGAAAAAAGGTACAAATAATTACAGTTCTGGGCCATAAAAGAGGTAAACTAAAGCCCCATTCGCACGGGACTAGTATTACCTGGGGACCTCATGTGATTTAGTAATTACTCCACCACGTCTGTGTTTCGTGCGGCGCATTCGCACGGGATAAGCGAAGTCTGTGTTTTAACTCGAATTTACTGACATTATCCCCCGGATATGATGTCAAGGCTCTGCGTATCCTATCCTCAACAGTCTGTTACTGACCTGACGTTACCTTTGCTGGTACCAGCAAGTTACTGCAGTTTTCTCAGGAACCTGGGCGATAGCTATGTCTAATCGTATTCTCTCCTGTTCAAAGCTGCCATGTTCATGGAGCACTGGAAGCGGAGGCAGATGAGACTGAACTATGAATGGGATCTGACTGGGTTTGAAGATGAGGAGGTGAGTAGTGCCCAAATCACAGACAGGCAGACAACACTGAGAAAGAACAGATTAATTGCGAAGACAGAGAAAGGAAGAGGTGAGCTACACCTGTATGAAGAACCCCATACCAACAGGTTCTCACTCCCAACTCCTCAAACACTGCCGCTTGGTAATGCGCTTTAAAATAAGACGCTATAGGTATTCCTCTTGCATCATTTCTGGATGCGCAGAGCTCTGTGGTCAAGTTAGCAAGAACGTAATGTCCAGTTAGACTTTTAAAATAATATAAATTAAGGTTCCATTCCATTCAGTATAGCAGAGACTCTCACAACCTGACACTGTCTGGCATGAATGGAACAGAACATTAATTATGTATGATCGGTAAAAATGGCGGCTGTGAAAAAGGTCTTAATCCACCTTAAAAAGCCTTTAAAACGAATATGAAACCAGGTCACCAAACAAAAAATTATCTCGTTTTTCAGGTTTTCAGCTACCTTCCTACTGACTTTCCAATAAATTGTGATCTTATTAAGTATTAGTATTATTTTTCATAGTAAATTCCTCTTCAACACAGAAAAAACATGTAATGAAATAACTGTAATGAGTAAAGTTTATCCTGACTGTTTTTACTAACACTCCCCCACATCCCTGTCCCCCCCCCCCCCCTCTCTCACTCTCACTCTGGGTTGATTTTTCACAGGAAGCTCTCAAGGTTTGGATGAATTCCTATTACTAGATAAAATCCTCTTTCTCTCTCTTTCCTCTTTGTGGCCTTTCTGCTGCCAACCTCCGAGTGTAACACATCACACAAGACTTGCATATGTTACTCTAAATTGTATTTGCAAATGTAGTTCCACTTCCACTGTCATAAGGACATCAATAATTGAGGTTTTCCCCCATCAGTATAGTTCACTTCAGAGTTCAAAGTCAGCTTCAACTTGCCAATGCGATTAAGAGCCTGACCTCTGAAAATGTCTCAATATTAGCATCAAAAGCCGAGTCACAGTACCAGAATTGATTCATTCTAAATGATTCCATGAAAAAAGGCAGCCTTCTAAAAACCAAATCTAGACAAACTGTAAATATGGAGAAATCATCACAATTTAAAGTTCAGTGGCAGGAATTCAGGAAGTACAGCCCAAACCATTCCTACAGAACTGAGTCAGCAATAGTCAGGTCTCAAGTCTTTGAGCCAATGTCCAAGTCAAGTCTCTTATGGTTGTAATGAGCATTCTATCATCTGCTGTATATCTGGTCAGCTTAGAACACTTATCTAAGGAATTCAAAGCATGTACTGTATTATCAACACTTCTTTACCATAAGACACATAAAAGCTTAAAAACTCACAGAGGGGTATTTACTATTTCATGTTGTAGAACGAAACCCGAAAATCTCTTGAAGCTTGTGTTAACCACAGACCTTATTTCAGGCATCTAGTCAAAAACCAATTCAAAACACTAATTGACTTTGAGGAGAGAATCGGAGGGGCTAAATTGCAAACTCATTTCAGGGTTTTAGGACTCATTCCTGCTGCACTCCCAGTGGCCACACCTATAAAGGATTTGCGCCCACATAAACCGTGCATACACTTATTTCCTACACATACACACACAAGCAGAACGTGTGGTGAGAAAAAGAAGTGAAATAAATATTATAACTTATTTGTTGATACACTATATGATACGGAGCCCCTAAAGGGACATGAAAAAAAAAAAAATGAAACGTTTCTAGTGAGCACTAGATAGTATCTTGTGCTCACTAGATAGTATCTTGTGCGCACTAGATAGTATCTTGTGCTCACTAGATAGTATCTAGTGCTCACTAGATAGTATCTTGTGCTCACTAGATAGTATCTAGTGCGCACTAGATCCGTATCTAGTGCGCACTAGATCCGTATCTAGTGCGCACTAGATCCGTACAGTGCGCACTAGATATGGATCAGTGTTGGCTCATTTAAATATTAAAATTAGCCATGTGTTAATAGGTCACAACAGGAAAATGTAACCAATGAAATTACTTATTTTGACACACATTTTAAGCCAATACGTATTAAACTAACAAGGTAATGTGTCAAAAGGTGGACTGTTTTGTTATTTTCTCAAAAGGAGGACAGGCATTTAAATGCGGACTGTAATAAAAAAGGTTACAGATTAATTTACATTTATTTTTACTTACAGACAAATTAGTTTAATACTCATTTGAATATTAAAATTAGCCATGTGTTGATTCACCACAATATGGATAGTATCTAGTGCGCACTAGATAGTAGTAAGTATTGGCTTAAAATGTGTGACAAAATAAGTAATTTCATTGGTTACATTTTCGTGTTGTGACCTATTAACACATGGCTAATTTTAATATTTAAATGAGCCATGTGCTGATTCGCCACAACACTCCATCCATAGGATCTAGTGCTCACTAGATCCGTATCTAGTCGCACTAGATCCGACTAGTGCGCACTAGATACTATCTAGTGCGCACTAGATCCGTATCTAGTGAGCACTAGATACTATCTAGTGCGCACTAGAAACTATCTAGTGAGCACTAGATACTATCTAGTGCGCACTAGAAACGTTTGATTTTTTTTTTTTTTCATGTCCCTTTAGGGACTCCGTAATATGACACTCTGAGATCATACTAGAACAAAGCAGTGTTTGCTGCATATCACTATCGCTTTGCTAGCTACCTCACTGCTGCTACTGAATGGAGCCTGGGAGGGATGCGAGAAAAACATTTACCACCTGCAGGAGATGGATGAAATAAGGCATATATGATCAGCTCAAAATATATTTATGTCCAACAGGGCCATAGGGTGGAATCAACACACTCACACAGAGAAAATAGCTATGACACATTTTAGGATGTGTGTTTCAGGATAAGAATATGATTTAATGCTGCGATCCATTTGTCTCGAACATGACATATGTACCACTTATAGCGTTCCAGTTTGTCTGTGGGCATTACGAGTCGGAAAGAACATGGACGCCACCAGTGCAGCAGCTGTCTTGTTATTGCTTTTTGGGTACTGTTTCAGGTCAATGTGAAATAATAAAGAAACACTAACATTTCAAGTAATTCCGTTATTGCAAGTCTTACATTTCAATAATATTTTTCCATTTTCACTTGTTGAAATTATTTCAGTTTCAACAAGTGCTGTGGCGTTTGTCTCGAGCCACCAGGGGCAGTGGCAGGCTAGTGTTATTGTTAGCTACATTAGCATATTTAGCAAACCAGCTCGAAAACAAAACTTTACATTGCATGGCACGCACAGCAACACCGTGCAATGCACAAAAAATTGGTGACCGGACTAAAGCAGCAATGTAAACAAGTGTGTAAGAGCATTTAAAATCGACATTAAAACGACCAACGTAGTACAAATACAAAGAAAATACATCTCAATATGGGCGCAGCCATCTTTGTTTTGCGAGTCGTATGTTCACCCTCGTTCAGCTCGGTGTACTCTGAGGAGCCCCGAGTGGGACGGTCGATATTGCCACCAAAATGGGGTGTGTCTCGGTGAAATGTCGCAAGATAGCTGCAAGATTTACACTTTCCAACTCGGGCGGGGGATTTACGAGACAAATGGATAGCAGCATAAGTACATAGTTAATTACAGAAAAATTACACTCCCAGGTTCCATAAACTGAAGCAACTATATACTTCAAGCACTGTGATTATTTCCTGGCCTTTCGACTCCAGCTGTTTTTCTTCTGTTCACTTATACTCTAGCTGTGTCACTTCACTGTTATACACAATGTTTCTTTTCAATCAGGATGTATAGGTTTGACTTTTTATTTTAATCTGTTTCAGACTTTCTTTCTGTGTTCTTTCTTGTGATGTTTTCTGGTTCTTTGTCATATTTACGTTAATAAAACCCCCAAATAAGACATAATACTTTATCATATTTTATTATTAAGGTTTATCCTTGTACTTCATTATTGTACTTCATCAGGTATACCTGATATATGGTTGTGTTGACATTGTAAACAAATATAAAGCAAAGAACTATGACATTTTGCCAAATGTTTCAGGCAAGAAGCCCTTCTTCAGAGGGTATTCTAGCCAGCAACCTACAGTTATTTGATTGCATTGAAAACGAAAATGTCCTTCCAAGTTCAATACGATTTGTGTATTTTAATCAAGGGTCCAGTGTGTAGGATTTAGTGGCATATAGTGGTATAGTTACAGATTGCAACTCTCTCACTTCACACTCCCATTCCAAGCACGAAGGAGAAACTACAGCTGCTGCAAAAAACCCAAAAAATCAAATGCCCCTGTTTAGAACCAGTGTTTGGTTTGCTCGTTCTGGGCTACTGTAGAAACATAGTGCTTCAACATGGCGGACTCCATTGAATGTGAGCTGTGAATATTATGTTACATTTCTGACAATAGAGCCTCCTAAATGTCCTAAACACACTGGACCTTGTACTACCTTATTAAAACAGCTCTTGAACAGAGCATTCTCTTCTACCACAGGCATACATATTATCTGGTAATACCACTTTTATTTAACTGCTCATGTCACATCTGTTCATGTCACCACCACAGGACCACCCCAGGGCCGAGTATGAATTCAGGGTCATGCAGAAGTCTCTGAGCAAAGATCAGAAATCAAAGGTAATTATGTGGTAGGCTCTGCTGAGTTTCATCTTTCCGGTTGTATGTGTTTATTCGGGATTCATAACTAGATGGATCATCAGCAGAGAGCGTTGCACAATGACCTGTAGAATATGGCCTGCCCCCTTTGGTTCCCATGTTAAACCTGATCATTTTTTGGTTGGCTGGGACCTCTGTTCAGGCAACTTTTTGCCAATTGCAACTAAAATTTGTTTGGAACCCGGAAAGATAGTCCAAAAAATAAGTTTAACTTTGGAACCAATATAGGCGAGTCATATTCTACAGGTCATTGTGTATTGTGTAGAGCCCTCTTTTGATGACACATGATTAGAATGGTTCCACTCAAAACTGGTGGAAACACAGGCTGGTTTGTACCAAGGTTCCATGAATCTTGAACGGAAGAGCTAATTTGGTGGGAAAACACTATGTGTCACAGATTTAGTCAAAGATCTATTAGAACATGGTAAATGCAATACTATAAATAGTGGGAGTTGCAATAGCAGGGTCTCAATCAGTAGAGGGAGGTTTGTATGCATATTTAGAATTCAATATATAATAATATTTGGACATGAATCGATCAATAACACTATTACATACTCATATACATAGGTTTTCAGCAGAATTGTTTGGGTGTTTTTTACTCTTAAGCCATATTACGGCTCCAGACACATGATTGAACTTCGCTTTTGTTGACTGTCAGGGCCCTGAATTCTCAGCTTAACAAGCTCAACAAAATGCTAGTAGTGTAGAAATTCAGGGAACAGCTGTCCGTTTTGATTTATATTCAGTTCTATTGAAATTCAAGCTGTGTTACTCCTTGGACATTTTATGGTGAAAAATCTGCCAAACTGACATGTTTCTGCTGTAACTGTCCTTGTGCTGTTCAACACTTCACAGATTACACGTCAGAATTCTAGTCTGAACAACCTCAGTCCTCTTTACAAAATCTGCTTGATGCAGTTATAGAGTATGTCTTTATTTATTGATTTTTAGATGGAAAAGCTCACATGTCGAGACCGCCTCCCTGCCTACATGACAAACATTGTCATGATGCTGTTAATGGTAAGTAGAACCTGATTCTCTATATATACTCTACATTACTGATGATTCATGGAAAGGTTGTGGAATTATTATTTATTTTCCCTAACTGTTTGTTATCCTGCAAACCTTTTCATTTATAGATTGGTGTTACGTTTGCCATTGTGTTTGGCGTGATCCTCTATCGGATCTCCACCAAAGCCGCCCTTCATATGAGCTCCAATCCGATCACACGGAACCATGTGCAACTGACGGTTAAAACTACCGCGGCCATTATCAACCTGGTGGTCATCCTCATACTGGATGAGGTGTACGGAGCTGTGGCACGATGGCTCACTGTGCTTGGTAAATTCCAATCCAATCTTAATCAGTACAAAACCTGCTTAACAAATCTGAATCCTTTATTATCTGTTAATAATTATATGTTAAAAATTAAAATTTTGTAAATAAGTTACAAACTGAAACTCATTCATTTGAGATCTACCTTCTTTTGGTAGGAAAGAAGGAAACCACCTGCAAAGTAGCAACATCACTAGTTTGACATCTGTAAACTAGCCTGTTACATGAAGTGCGCCACTACTCTAAAATAGTTTAGTTGGGATTAATTGTTTTCCGGACAAAAAATTCGCATTTCAATTTAAATATTTATACATTTATTTTAATCATATATCCTCAACACAGAGATGCCCAGGAGTTCCCTGGATAATTTTATTGTAGTTGGTTATAAATACTACAATACCCATGAGTCAAAGCGGTCGCAAATTCAAAATATTATATTGTAGCTCTTGGGAACAAACTTTGACACATGTTGAAATCTAAAAGCTGACCCATTTGAAAGTGGATTCATTTAGCATTGTTCCATAGACATTTGCTGGCTTGGAGCCGATATGGTCAAGAGAGCCCAAGATTTAATGAAGAGAGGGAGCGGCGTACAAACAAACGAACAAATTTGCGAATCAAATTAAAACGTTATTTTGCGATTGTTTCACAGCAGTTACATTTTAAAGCACAAATAAACACGCCCACCTACCTCCCTGTAGAATGTAGACTGTTTCTAGTGCAGAATAGCTGCTAACATAGCTCTGGTGATTTTATTTCTTATAAATTATTAACAATAAAAGTTGCCGTTTTTTTTTTGTTATTTAACAGCTTTTATTATGAAGCAGCAGCTGTGGTTGGTGAGACGTCACTTCAACCAACTTTGAGGTGGTTGGGTGCGCTTTGGCCCAACTCCGGAAAAAAGTGTGAATTTGGGTGACACTTTATTTAGAGCTTTGTGTCTTTCACTGCATTGTGTTTGGATGCAATCTGTAGTTTAAATAAAAACTTAACTAACATAGGGATGTGTGTGTGATTAACAACCTTTTTGACAAACCTTAATTTCGTTCTATCTATGTTCTATATAAATATATGATCTGCCATTATTGTCCTGTAATATTGAGGAATAAGAATAACCTACATCTTCAGGTGGGAGTGACCAATTAACAGCTTGTTAAAGCACCACTATATAAAGGCTGTAGCCGTGTGCCAAATGATACAGAGGCTGCTTTGGTGCTGCTGGAAGATGTTGCTATTGCACAATTTAGGAAGGAACAAGTATTTAGATGAGGCCACTCCTCCAAGGTCTGAGGTGTTCACTGCCTCTGTTAACTTCTGCCATTCACCTTACTTTATTTAATATGTTTTATTTTATCAGTTTGATCCACCATTACCTCCAGTTAACATTCCGTAAAATTGTGCTTCTTCATTTGCTTCTTCAATGCTTCCACCATTTCTCCTCAAAACTCTAAATGCTAAATGCTAAACGTGTGTTTCAAGCCATTAATAGTAAATCATGGGAATAGTCAGAAGGCTTGTGCAGGTGCGTACAATTTCAGGATGAAGGAAAAACACGTGGGAACAGACGTACTTGAGGTTTTATAAATATAATGAAAAGACTGTACACAGATCACACCTAAGTATACACAGAGTTTTATGCTTCTGGCCCCAGGGGTCTGCAGAGTTCAATGCCGCTGGGACAAAAGACGCTATGGAGGTTCACAAAACTCTGAAAGGCCGTTCAAACACTTTGTTTCTATGAATAAGAATGTGTTCAGAAGTAAAATTAGTGCCTGTTTTTTTATTGCAAATAGCAAATAAATCAAAGCAAGTTCTCTGTTCATTTTAGAGGTTCCTAAAACAGACAAGAGTTTTGAGGAACGACTCATCTTCAAGACCTTCATTCTCAAGTTTGTCAATGCTTTCAGCCCCATCATCTACATTGCTTTCTTCAGGGGGAGGTTAGTATCTTTATTTTATTGTCATTTGAGTCACTTGGTTTGTCATTTACTCAGTCCCTCCAGGTTTTTGCAGGCTTTTTTGGGATTGTTGCGGACTAAAATGCCTGATTTAAAAGCAAAAATGGCGATGCTTGTTGTGACGTTTCTTGGCATTTATTTGTAAATAAACTGCAGGAGAAAGTGAACATTTCTAAAATGGTTGCAGTTTTGGCAACGGCAACTTGTTCCAGTGAGAATAAAATCACAGTTTGGATAGTAAGTGTGAGGCGTACATGGTCTGCATCATCACAACTAGAAACAAGGACGGTGACATATGGCTCAACGTTTTCTGCAGAAAACTACAATGATAGGTCAAATTTGCAGTAAGGTTGAAGGAACTGGACAAAATTTCATGGTTGCGAAGAATACACTTGCAACTGACTGGAGGGACTGCATTGCTTTGCATTATAATATCTTTGACCACTCTTATATATTTTTAATAAGTGTCAAAAAGATAAATAAATCTTTTAAGATAAAGAACACATTGTATATCTGCTTTTAATCTTTTCATGAATGTGCCCCTTGTAGACTGGTAGGCAGGCCAGGCAGCTACCTGTATGTGTTTGAATCCTACAGAATGGAAGAGGTAAGTTTACACTTTTACAAATGATCTGCAAGTAGAATATTCGGTAACCACACACTGGCATTAGAGCTGAGTTGCTTTTTACATGCTCACAACAAAAATAATCACCCTTGTAACCCACTTTGTTGACATTTACATTGTTCACTCTTACCTTGGTGAACACATTTGGCAAAAAAAAAATATTTAAACCCAAAGCTTTTGTATTTTATAGTGTTTATATTATCATATAGATGAACATTTTTCATAAAACATACATTTATTGCTGCTAAAATGAACAGATAAGTCCTTTCTACTGACAGTTGCGGACTAATACCTAGCCAGCATTTTTTTCTATGTGCGGTATGTGATTGTCCGTGTGTTCCATAATGTCAATTGTCCATGTGGGCTTTATGCAGGATTACATTGGGTGTTAGGTGGGGCATAACTGGACATTCAGCAACCCAGATGGGCTCCATTTCTTTTCTGTTGCCCACTCTTAGCCCATGCTCTCATTTCCCATTAGTGACCCAATTAATTCAATTCAATTCAATAAAATTTTATTTGTATAGTGCCGATTCATAAAAGAAGTTATCTCAGGACACTTTTCAAATAGAGCAGGTCTAGACCGAACTCCTTATAGGATTATTTACAGAGACCCAACAGTACCACCATGAGCAAGCACTTGGCGACGGCGGCATAGAAAAACTTCATTTGAAGAGGCAGAAAACTCGGACAGACCCCAATATCTTTTTTTTTATGCCTTTGCAGAATTTAGTTGGTGGTTAGTCAAAAATGTCTAGCCTACTACTCTACAACCAAGTTGTTGGGTCAATGTAGTGGGAGCACCATTTTCAGACTTCAGCAAGTGGAACTTGCCCCAGTGTCATCTTGTAAATTAAGATTGTGGAATACAGGTACATCTCAATAAATTAGAATATCATGGGAAAGTTCACTGATTTCACTAATTCAATTCAAAAAGTAAAACTCATGTATTATATAGATTCATAACACACATAGTGAAATATTTAAATTGATTTTGATGATTATGGCTTACAGCTAATGAAAACCCAAAATTCAGTATTTCAGAAAAATATTAGTAATAGTTCAATATTGTAGACTCACAATGTCCCACTCTAATCAGCTAATTAACTCAAAACACCTGCAAAGGTTTCCTGAGCCTTAAAATGGTCTCTAAGTCTGATTCAGTACGCTACACAATCATGGGGAAGACTGCTGACTTGACAGTTGTCCAGAAGACAATCATCTCCACAAGGAGGGTAAGCCACAAAAGGTCATTGCTCAAGAAGCTGGCTGTTCAGAGTGCTGTATCCAAGCATATTCATAGAAAGTTGAGTGAAAAGGAAAAAGTGTGGTAGAAAAAGGTGCACAAGCAGCAGGGAGAACCGCAGATTTGAAAGGATTGTGAAGCAACGGCTGTTCAAGAATGGGGGAGATTCAAAAGGAGTGGAATGAGGTTGGAGTCAGTGCATCATAGCCACCACACACAGATGTATCCAGGACATGGGCTACAACTGTCCTCTTGAACCAGAGACAGTGTCAGAAGCGTCTTACCTGGGCTAAGGAGAAAAAGGACTGTTGCTCAGTGGTCCAAAGTTCCCTTTTCAGATGAAAGTAAAGTTGCATTTCATTTGGAAATCATGGTCCCAGAGTCTGGAGGAAGAGTGGAAAGGCACAGAATCAAAGTTGCTTTTAGTCCAGTGTGAAGTTTCCACAGTCAGTGATGATTTGGGGAGCCATGTCATCTGCTGGTGTTGGTTCACTGTGTTTCATCAGGTCCATAATTAATGCAGCCATCTACCAGGAAATTTTAGAGCACTTTATGCTTCCTTTTGCTGACAAGATTTATGGAGATCCTGATTTCATTTTTCATTGGGGACCTGCCCACACTGCCAAAAGTACCAATACCTGGTTTAATGACTATGGTCTTACTGTGCTTGACTGACCTGAACCCCATTAAGAATCTATGGTGTATCGTAAAGAGGAAGATGAGAGACACCAGACCAAACAATGCAGACGAGCTGAAGGCCATTATCAAAGCAACATGGGCTTCCATAACAGCTCAGCAGTGCCACTGGCTGATCGCCTCCATGCCCAGCTGCTGTATGATGCAGTAATTCATGCAAAAGGAGCCCCAAACAAGTGTTGAGAGCATATAGGGGTATTACGTGATATTTAAATTTTCTGAGATACTGAATTTGGGGTTTTCTATTAATAATAATAATAATAATAACAATACTATCAGTGATATTAGCAATGGCAGTCAAGCAGGACCATGGTAGGAGGCTCCACCAGGATCCATGAGAACCTGAGATAAGTTGTACCTGGGTGTGGAATTCACAGTATGTTCCCAAACTTAGGACCATATCTACACACTCAAGTATTGGGCCGCGATGTAATGTTGTCATGGTTCTCTGGAAAGAGTTCCTTCCAGTTTTGATGCCGTTTACTATGCCAGTAAATAGTTTAGCTAGCTAGTCAGCTGTTGGACTGTGAGAAAGCTACGGAGCAGGGGCGTTGTGAGTAGACAACCCAAGTAAACTCAGTTTATCCACCTCTTTGAAATGAGGCTGAGAGTTCATCTAGAGCTCAACTTCTGCTTTAATCAATTTTTTCCAGTTTATCACATTCGATCGCCTGCTGGGGCTACACAGACCTGCTCCACAGGCGCACAAGGTGTTCTGCCCTGACACACTTTGCCAAGTGCCCGCGTGTGTTGGTAGTATTACTATTCAAACAGCCAAACTCCTTGCCAGTGTCTAGGTACCATTTGAGGGATGCACTGCACACCATATTAAAAGGTCCAGTGTGTAGGATTTAGTGACATCTAGCTGCGAAGTTGCATATTGCAACTAACTGAACACTGTTTGTTTCTACCTGGGAATAAGAACAGGCTGTGAAGTGTGTAGGAGAAACTACGGTGGTGGTTCACTAAAGGCCCTATCTAGAGCCAGTTTTGGGTGTGCCCATTCTGGGCTAGTGTAGAAACATGGCGGTTCAACATGGCAGTCTCTGTAGAAGAACACACACAACCTCTGTAGATGAAAATGGTTCATTCTAATGAAAACACAGCAATTCCTATATTCAGGCGATTATACATTAATGAAAACATACCTATGAATATTATATTCAGTTTCCTAAATGTTACACACTGGACATAAGAGTGTCCTACTGTAACAATGACTACTACCTCACCTGACATCTAGTACTGGTATGTTCACCATAATGCACTGACAATCAACCTACACATCAAGTACACATATGAACACAAATTGGATTGGAAGGTGTTATTCCTTGACACCTGTAACGAAAGAAAACTGACAGAAAGTGCTATTCTTTAGTCCCAGATGCTGTCATTAGTAGGCTACTCATGCTGATTAGTAGAGCTTTAAACCCTTACATATTTGTAGTCATTTTGCTTCAGGCCTACTTGTGGACTGTGTTTTGGACTGTTTTACAGTGTGCTCATGGAGGCTGTTTGATGGAACTATGTATCCAGCTGAGTATCACCATGTTGGGAAAGCAGCTAATTCAGAACAATCTTTTTGAGATTGGAATACCGTAAGTATGCAACACTTTAAATTGTGTACATAATGCTTAAAAGTTAAAAAAACGAAATTTTGGCGATTGAAAACTAGGATGGCCATTTTCAAAGGGATCCCTTGACCTCTGACCTCAAGATATCTGAATGAAAATGGATTCTATGAGTACCTACGAGTCTCCCCGTTGCAGACATGCCCCCTTTATGCTAATCTCATGCTTGCAGTTTTTTGCATGTGATATAAAGGTGTTATTTTTGCCTAGTGTATTTGAACATTTCTGCATACTGGGGTCAGTAAACAGTTTTGACTGGACAGCTGAGACACATACTTAATGCTATATGCATTATTCAATGCCCCTTCTTGTGCCACCCCAGTCCAAAAAGTCTGCTTTGGCCCCTTGCTTGGAGGGCCAAAAATTAAGCATAGCGATAGTTCAGGCAGGCCACGAAGTCAAGCTCAGCTTTTAATTCCAGCTACATCAGCTGATCACAGCTAATTGTAAACACGCAGTCAGCTGACGGCTCAGCTGATTCCTTCAAGCATCCAATTGGCAAATATCATTCATGGCGCCTTATTTAAGCTGCTTTAGCCTGCCTATCTTTGCTGCTTCCTCTACAAGCTGTTTTGCAACCCACCTCCACCCCAGCTCCTCCTTTTTATGTTGTATCTAATTAATCAATGTCATTTTCTGATTTCCATTGATGCTTGCTCTGTTCTGTGCCATGGGGGGTCTCTGCTGCCGCTCTCCTTGTCCTAAACTTTTCCATGTATGCACATGGAAGGGCAGGGATGTGTGCTCTCCCTGCCTTAAGGTTTTCCACGTAGGCACATCGAAGGGCAAGGACGTCCCAGAACAGAGCCATACCGCCAAATGTAACATTCTGCTTTGGAAATAAAAGTTATTTTGAACAAAAATGGTCCTAACTGAACTGAAACATAATGGTGGGCCATTGTATTGTTAAGCAAAAGCTACAGGTCCCAATAATTGAACATTACAAAAATAAAATAAATAAAAAAATAATATAATGTGATCACATAGCAGTTTTACCTCCCAAAAAATAAAGCAGCATAAATAGCAATTAACAGTATTTTTTAAATGTGTTTTTAATTTGTTTTTCACTAGAAACATCAGATGGGCCAAATTGAGCCTTACAGGGGGCCAGCTTTGGGCAGCTGTGCACTAGCTAAAAGAGAAAGAGAAACGGTGTGCATGCCTCTGTATTCACATTTCATGTGTATATTGTATGTCTGTGTGTGTGCATGTTCCGCAGCAAACTGAAGAAGCTGATTCGCTACATTCGGTCAAAGCAAGGGGCTTTTCAAGAAGAGGAGAGACAGAAGAAGCTGCAGAGATATGAAACAGACCACTTCTTGGAACCATTTGCTGGATTAACACCTGAATATATGGAAATGAGTCAGTACCACACACACACAATATGCCTACACACACACTACTTAAAAATATAAAGTATGATTTTATGTGGTCTTAATACAATAAAACAAATCTTAATCTATCTGATCATATTGATTACATTCAACTCTGTTTACTTATGCAAATAATACTACCATATTAAGGACCTTCCCACAGTCACTCTTATCACAAAGTAAATTCATGAATGCAAATTCATTGGAAAAATACAATTAAAGAACAACAGGGCCAGATTATGTACAATAGATCCATCTTGTGTTGTGGTGGTGCTATAAAGAGGAGAAATCCACAATCTGAGCTAGAAACGTAAAGCTGCAGTACATAATTCTCATAAAAAATAACTTTTTGACATATTTGCTGAAATTTTCACTATATCTTGACAGTAGAACTTGAGACAGATAATCTGTGAAAAAAAGGTTCCTCTGGCTTTCCTAGTGATCCTAATGGCTTTTGCAAGAATCCCACGGGCCCCGAATGAAAACAACCAATCAGAACCAAGTAAGATAGTGGTTTACTGAGTCTCATTCCCAGGGCATCAAATACAGACGCTTTGGGACTGAGAATGAGAATTGAAGGCAGATCAGCTGCAGTTAAGATGATTTCATTGCAAACATAAACTTACAAAACCACAAAGCAATAGTCCAAAACAATCAAATCGAATTACACTGGTGATGGTAGGATAACTAAACACAGGTGAAAAAAATCAGGGCGGGGCAATCAAGTATATTCACTCAGACCATGGTATAATTACAGATATAAAGCTGACAGTAAGTAGTGAAGACTTGCTCATATATTCTTCTGTCTTCTTCTGTGTCCAGTCATCCAGTTTGGTTTTGTTACACTGTTCGTGGCATCCTTCCCCCTTGCTCCTCTCTTTGCTCTGCTCAACAACATCATCGAAATACGTCTTGATGCCAAGAAATTTGTGACCGAGTTGCGAAGACCAGTGGCAGCAAGAGCCAAAGACATTGGTAGGTTATATTCAACAGCTGTAGTTGAAAATATAAAAATACTAAAGAAATACAGTGAGATCTTTTTGAAATTTGCTGCTGTAAAGTTCAGTTCAGTGTAGAAAAAAATAAATCTTACCTGTAAAATCCAGCAGAGTTGATCCATGTTGTTATGTTTACAGGTATATGGTACAACCTACTAAGAGGGGTCGCAAAGGTTGCCGTCATCATTAATGTAAGTAAAACATGAATGTTTTCATTTATGTATGAACTGTGTGGTCTGTTGGTATTCAGACCTGTTTTGGGCTCTGGACTCACATTCAGATCACAGTTCAGCTTTAATTTACATCCATTTACATCCATGTGCAGAACTTTTTTCTACCCACCCCCAAGCATAAAATGGGCCAAGAAACACATATTTGTTCACCAAATATGGATATGAATACTACACTACTATACTATAACACCCTGAAAGCTGAAATTTGTGACATAGATTCTTGCAAATGCCATTGGGAGCACTAGGAGGAGCCAGGGGGACCTGATTTTTCACAGATTATCTGTCTCATGTACTACTGTCAGGATACAGTGAAAGTTTCAGCAAATATCACAAAAGATATTTTTATAAAAATTACCTACTGCAGCTTTAAACATGCAAAATTTGCTCCAGTTACACTATAAAACCAGATAAGTTAATTTAACCTAAATGATGTTGAACTGTTGTCTCTTCAGCAAAATTACATTAGTCTAACTCCCATTTCTGTCCCTAATCTCTCCCAACCATAATTCCTACAGGCATTTGTCATCTCCTTCACTTCAGACTTTATTCCCCGGATGGTCTACCAGTACATGTACAGCCCTGATGGCTCCATGCATGGATTTGTCAACCACACGCTGTCCTATTTTAATGTCAGCCACTTCCAGGATGGCAAAGAACCGATGGATCCGCTTCACCTTGGCTACCACGTTGAGATCTGCAGGTGGGAAACCAATCTGGGGATGTGTAACTTGTAGGGATGAGCGAGTACACCATTATCTGTATCTGTTCAACCAAAAAATTATCTGTATTCCTGTCCGTACTCGGAATGGGCAGAGCTTAAACCGTACATGGGTTGCGCTTAACCTGAAAGTGGGCGGGGATCAACCTTTGGATTGATCAGAAGTTGCTATATTTAAAACCATTCACAGAACAGCTTCAGGACTGAGCTTCAGATGGATGTTTTTGATCACAAGAGGACTATTTACAGTTTAGCTTTTTAAATAAAAGTTTCTATATTTTTGAGTAGGCCTACAGATATTGACACATTTTACTCCGATGATACTTTCTCAACCCTAGTTACTTGCTACAATCACTCAAATGAGACCACTGTTGAGACAATGCATGGCCTCTGTCATTCTTCATGAAACAGAAAGTGTTTACTGTGAGGTTGTGAGGACACTCATCTCAGATGTGATTTTCCCAACCTGCTGCTCTCAGAATGCAATGTTACTGTGTTCAAAGACCCTGAGCAGCTATAAATAACTCCAATATTACCCTTTCATTAGGATAAGACTGGAGATTAATAATTAGCTAATTATTTAGCCCTTGCCAAAAATATACCAAAAACCACTAACACCTAACAAATGCTGTCTGCATTTCAAAAGCCTTAAATAGCTTGTGACTTTGGGCCCATATACACTTGTCATACCAAAGATCTCCTTCAGACAAAATCCAGATTTGATCATCTTGGGGCTGTGGCTCAGGAGGTAGAGTGGGTCGCCCTCTAGTCTGTGGGTTGGTGGTCCGGCTGGTTCATATGTGTCCTTGGGCAAAGCACTGAACGGAGTTGTCCGTTCAGGTAGAAAACCGGTATATCAATGCAGTCCATCCGGCCCGTATTAAATAGTTATATTAAATATAAATAAATATATGAATATATAGTTAAAAAATAAAAAATAAGACAACCAAGCTCTTAACAGTGGATGGTAAAAATGTGGCTTCAGACTGGATAAAAAGTCAATGTATGACAGCTTCTGACAGACAACCAAAACGCTGACGCAGGCACAAAGGGGATATGACGCCATTGACAGGCGACCGGTGAGTTTGAACATTGTTGGAAACATTTGGGATAAAATGTCAGTACACAACTCAACTAAATATACAACATAGAGCTAGAGTTTATACACTTGGTTTAATGATTATAGATTACTGATTGAACTCAACTACATATAGAACATAGCTCTAGAGTTTATACACTGTTTAATGATTATAGATTACTGATTGAATCAACTACATATAGAACATAGAGCTAGAGTTTATACACTGTTTCCTATCTCTTAACACAATGACACTCATAACATAACACGTCACCCAGTACCATATAGTACTGACGTTTCTGTTGAACTCTGGGTCATGGGGTTACACTCATAAAAAGAATATTTATTTTTTCCCCCTTTTTTTTATGGCACCTGCATCTCGGAATAGCAGATGAGTCAGTTGTCAAGAAGAAAGTTTGTGAATTATCAACTTGTGTCAGAATCAAATTGTTTTATTTTTGTCTCATAAGGTATAAGGACTATAGAGAACCTCCTTGGTCAAGCACTCCATATGAGATCTCAAAGGAATTCTGGGCAGTGCTGGCTGTTCGACTGGCCTTCGTCATTGTGTTCCAGGTAAGGTGAATCATCCAGAGAAGTAGCAAAAACAGTTAATATAAATTTATGAGAAATTGTAAGAAATTATCACACACCTTTATTTTATTCTATTTTGGTATGTAAAACTCAAAGTCTCCTTCCATAGAGTCCACCATGTTTCTACAGTACCCTTGGCTCTAGATAGGGGGTTTGAGTTTTTTGTAGGCTATGTTTCACAGCCAAAATAGTTTCTCCTTCGTGTTGGAAGGGGAGGGTGAAGCAAGGGAGTTGGGACATCTAGCAAGCATCTGCAACTACACCACTTGACGCCACTAAATCCTACACACTGGTCCTTTAAATAAGAACTCTCCAAAAGTCTCCTAACTCAATAAGGAGTAACCAGCAGATGGCTGTGTTACAGCAGAGAGGCAGAAGACACACTTTCCAGTAAAGTAAAGATATGATGTATTAGTATGATAATAATAATAGTAATAATAGTATGATGAAAAGATACATGGTGTGTCACAATAAATGTAGCAAAGATTGAAGGAGCTACTGGTCACCAAATCAGCACACGGCGCTGTGATTATTACTCTTATTGTAATTACATTTGTAAAAGTGGTGAGGCCTTAACCGCCAAAGGTGCAAACCGGAAATTTGAATGGGGCGTATTACAGCCTCAAAATATTTTGTAGAAATAAGTGCATGTCCTCCCATATAATTTTTAATGATATGATCTCAGTTGCTATCAGACCGATCAAGTTAGGGCTGTCACCCTAACCACAATACATATTGTGCTATTGAGAAGCCAACCACACGGGATGGCAAGTCACCACCACAAAAGCATGTGACGTCACATCGTCCCAGAGAGGCAAGGCTGAAGAGACAACAATTCAAATTTTTTTTTAGGTTAAATGAACTTTGGTTTTACAGTCTAACTGGAGACTTTTCAGCTAAAAGTCGACAGTTAAAGGAGTCACAGACCCATCAGGCAGGAGGAGGGTGGGTGCAGGTGATTAGTACAAGCAGGTACTGAGATTAAACATTATCCCGTTGTACCACTTACAAAGTAATTAGCGAAAACAAAAAACGGTGATAATACCACACACAAACTGTTGAGCCTCCCTTAATCACTGCAGAGAAAAAGCCTTCATCAACTCTCCCACACACTCAGAGACGTCCACTGGCCGAGCCGCTAACTTCTGGTTTTAGCCCTCCGTTAACTTGAAAGCGATAAAATGAATTAATCGTGTGGCTCTTCCTGATATGTTACTGGACAGAATGAATCAAATTCAGATTTTTGAGGAGGGTTGTGACACAGTTTATCCACCTGTGTGCCATGTGCCAGCTTAGGGCTTATTCATGGCTTATTTTATAATGAATTGGAGAAAACTAACAAAGATTACATGATTCCATTCCATTTATCTTTACCAGAATGTTGTGATGCTGATGAGCGACATTGTGGACTGGCTGATTCCAGACATCCCTAAAGACATCAGCCTCCAGATCCACAAGGAGAAGATTCTCTTGGTGGATCTCTTCATGAAAGAGGAGCAAGGCAAGATCCATATCCTTGAGAGCAGTTACAGATTGTCTACAGGGTGCAAGGAGAACTGCAGCAGGAGCGACAACAACAACAGCACAGCAGCTCACCCACGTTCCGGACTGCACACCAACAGCACTAAAAGCCTCTAATGCTAGTAGCAATGAATTCTTAGTTCACTTTTGGATAGCAAATCCAAGCTTGCTAGCAGCCTGCTTGCTCAGGCCAACCTAAACTCTGTGTTTTTGTTCTTGTTCAGAACATTCCAACAACTGGGAGAGCAGCTGGCTGATGAGGTGTGCATGGGGCCAGATATTGTGAAACTCTATCTCAACCCATACGTGCGACAAACTTTGCAAAGGTTTCAAGCATTTGAAACACAAATCTGTATGTGTACACTAGGGATGGTAGGACCCCAATCAAAAACTGTGCACCTAGTACAATTGACCCTTCTTAAGCCCCGCCCCTTTTTGCAATGTGCTCCAATGAGTCATGAGTCAATTCTCATTCCCAGTCCCAAAGCGTCTGTATTTGATGGCCTGGGAATGAGATTTAGTAAACTACTATCTTTCTTGGCTCTGATTGGTTTCTTTCGTTCAGGCCCGGTGGATTCTTGCAAGTGTCATTAGGAGCACTAGGAGGAGCCAGAGGAACCTGATTTTTTCACAGATTATCTGTTTCATGTACTACTGTCAGGATATAGTGAAAGTTTCAGCGAATATGAAAAGTTATTTTTACAAAAGTTACCTACTGCAGCTTTAAGAGGAACCAAATAAATAAAAGCAAACTATCTGTAACCTATTAAATAGCATCAATCATCATATTCCTTCAAATTGTGTCAAATCACACTGCATTGCAACAGGGGAGAATCATATCCTAGCCCATCGGTAGTTGCTTCGTATCTTTAATGTATTGGGCCTCAGTGCTGGAGATGCTTATCCTTGGTGAATGTGTACAAAAATCATGCATGCTCAGATTTGCTAAGTGTACACAACTCTCTAAATGTGCATACGATTTATACATTTGTATAAGAAGAAATAATAATAAAAATGTGACTCAAAAAAGTTGGTGTAAATGGGGTATTTACTGAGCCTGTCACAAATTACTGCCAGAAGTACAAAATCTTCACCACATTTTCTTTATTTATTTACTTTATTTATTTACTTTATAAAAAAAATGTTTTGTTGTTGTTGCTGAACTTGTTCTTTTCTTTTCTCCAATGAAACAAGGGAGTGGCAATCTGCAACCTACATCCTACACACTGGGCACACAGGAATAAGACTTTAAAAGATAAGACTTGTGGTAATTTTCTCCTTGTTAACAAATCCCATGTGAAGACTAAACCCAACGATGATTTTAGGCTCGTTGGAGTTGAATTGCGCCTCCCCTGGAAAGTGGATGCAGGAGGAGGTGAAAAAAAGCTGCAGTCAGTCAGACAGTTTCCAGCAGCCTTCAAGGAATACACAGGAAGTTACAGAAATGTTTGCATCCTGTTGGATCATCTGCAGGCTGCCTGTACTGTGCAGAGCACGTTCAGATATATAAATAAACATTATTATTATTATCAACCACACAAGATCTGTTTGTCAACAGATTAAACCTCCATTCCGTCCACACAAAACAAGTGTTTGTTGTCAAAAATAAGAGCCAATCAGCTCTTAGATCAGGTGACAGCCTGACATTTCCCATCATGCCCTGGGTCTCTCAGTCGGTGGAGAGCAACTGTGATGCCTGGCTCTAAAGGTTGCCACCTTGATCTCTTGAGGTTATCATTGTCCACATGTGCACACCATCAGAGCTAGTTGGCATTGAGTTGTTAACAAATGTAACCAGCATGCATTGTGCATTGATCACCGATGATCAATTCTGTGCAGGTCTAATTCATCTCAAAAAAGTCTATTTGTCTCTTTATAATAAAATAATTTGACTGAAATGCTAATATTTGTAGGGGACTATTTCAAGCGGTGGAGTAATCCACATTTGTCCAGCAGCAGGACAGTATACAGTTTGATTTAATTTGTTTTATTTGGCATTTCCTGGCATTTAAGATTGTCATTCAGGTTTAGTTTTGTTTGTTTCGAGACACCCAGGTCTGATCAGCCTGCGGTGGGCCTCCATCTGCTGAGGGTGTCTTGTGATAAATGGCACGCAGATATGTCAAGGTACATAGCTGAAGATGTGTTGTAATGGTAGCAACATCATTTAATGGTCATCTCCAACAACCCTACTCAGTCAACTGAAGTGCAAATACTTAATTTAAAAATTATTTAAAAGTTATTTTAAAAATAACTGTATGTTAGATTATGTGTCTCATGTACTGCTGTGAGAATATAGATATATATATATATATATATATATATATGAAAATATGACAAAAATGATTTCTGTAAAAATTACCTACTGCAGCTTAAAGGGATTGTAACACTCAGTCCTTCTATTCAATCTATGGTTTTGTTCTTAGTGTCAAAAATAAATACATCAAACTTCACACAAGGATGCACGCAAATCAAAATGTACACCCTTCACACTGAATGACATAATATATATTCAAGCCACAAGAACCAAACAAACAGCACAAAATCAAAAGTTATATATTTCGATATTTCCACTTAATAACCTCCCAATCCCAGGGTCACAAAAATGAAAAATAATTTTTTTGTTCAGGTAGTAGGTATAAATATATATACAAATATTTTTTTCTCTGCTCTCTGCTCAAAAACCAATAGACGGATGAACAGAAGTGGGTTGAACTGCAGCGCTAACCGGGAACGAATCGGTGAGTAGACAGGAGCTTCCGGGGTGTGTACAGCGATGAAATCCAGGTTGTCTCAGTGGGACTACAGTGTGTGTTCTTCTAAAACACATGAAGCGTTTTATTCATTCGGGCACCCTGTTGTATTGCCAACATGTGTATATTATTAGTATTGATATACTATTAGTATTTATTTATAAATCAGCAGGATTTACCCTATCTGTTTAGGATTTGTTACCTGATTTATTTACATTTGTATTTATTTTCAAATTTGACTACTTTAAAAAAAAGAAAAGGTATCATTATAAGTTTAAACATTTTTACAAAAGACAATGTATTATGCCAAATTTTAGGTTCTACTTCCAGCACCTATGCAGCCAAGGCTCTTAAGGGGCCGACTGCCAGATTTGAGTGCCTCACAGAGCGAACGACAAGTCAAATGATCATTTTACTCATTTTTGTCAGACATCACACACACTTACATGTAAACTTGCTTTTTCTGGGTACTCCTCCAATGTCTGTTTACAGTTCTTTTACCACTTCAGCGCCTCGTCTCGTATCCCTGTGTCTAATGTCACAGTGCTATGAACTGTGGGTGTTTCCCTCAGGCAAAGTCTGAGAAATGCAGACTTACGGAAAGTGTGGATAAATGGCTCAAAATGTCTGCCAGAGAGCCCTCGTGCATTTGACAATTTGACAGTGTGACAGCCCTAAGCCCTCACAAAGTTACTGGGAACTCGCCTCAAAGTCTGTCAATGTGGAGATTGGAACTGAGTCAAAATAACTACAGTGTGTTCATGGTAAAGACAGAACAGCTCACCCAATGCAACAAGAACAGTTTTTTCCCATCTGCATCTGGCCTCATAAACAAGGCCCGGGACCCCCACTGACACTGATTCTTTGAATTTATGTGATACATTAATGCACATTTCTTAGATTTGATCTTGCACATTGCAGATACCCTTTATGCACGATGCTGCTACTTGCACATTCTCTAAACAATATTTTGCACATTCCTGCACAAACTGTACAGTGCTTAATTTGTTTACTGAAATAACAGTAATATTGTACGTATTGCCTCTATTTCATCTTTATTCATATTTGTCTTTGTTTATTTATGCACAAATATACCACGGCTAATTCTTTGTATGTGAAAACCTACTTGGCAATAAACCTGATTCTGAAGATATATCAGGCAGTAGAACACACTGATTAATTCACAGCCTTTAATTGTCCAAACAGACTAATGTTTAACACTACTGTGTCTTCATCAGAATCAAAATGGACAAAGACATGTGGCAAACAACATGATCATCCTAGAGCAATTCACTGTGATTGGATAATTGGTTGAAGAGAATATTGGATCATGAATCTGAGGCCCGGAGTTACCAAAATCAGCATCTGCACTCCTAAACCAGGTCAGAAAAAAGGCAAAATAACACAGAGCTCTTTTAAAGTTACAAAGACAAAAGTACAAAGAATGCAAGTACAAACAACCATCATGTGTGCCAAATTAGAGGAAACAAATGCAGTTCTTCAGTAATTCCAAAGGGCTCCACTGTGTCCAGAGCGTGAACCCAATATGGCAGATAGCTGATGATGTCAGAACCCCTCAGGGACAGTGAACTCTTTTCTGTTCCCCAGAACTTTAATAATGCTGCAGAGCCATAACGTCAGGCAATAGCATAATACATAGCATAGTACATATTATTTTGTGTACAGTCTTATGTTCATTTCATCTCTTTACAACTTTCTTCCTTTCTTTAGAAGGACCATGATCACATGGAGCATAAACAGAATATACAGTATTAACAAAATGACAGCACACAGCACGGCTAAAGTACAACAAATGTTACTTAAACACACATTGAAAAAGGCATAGTTTACTAATAACTTATCTGATTGTTGATGATTGTTAAAATGGGCAGTTTAAATAATACTTTGGCAAACGTATTTCTCTATAATTCATTATGCTTAACATTCAAACTCAATATGATCTCTCTCATCTCCTAAACGATTGTCATTACAGAGGTTGCAGATTCTTTGGTTTCTACCCAGCCCCCTTGTTTTTTAGGCATTTTTCAAACCTGATCCTGTGTTCATTGTGCTGGGAGTTTCAGATGCCATATCTGTATTATCAAGAGCACAGCAGCAACTTCCTCCTCTCTTATGGTGATTTTACAGCATAACAATTAATCCTGACATTCTGGATGAAGAAGGAAGTTCCCACTTTTAATATACCTGAGAAACAACCCATAGTGTACACTGCTCGTGTACTCTACTGGCCATTACGCTTTTCACTGCTTTTTTAAAAAAACTATTTGTCCACTGCAAGCTTTATTATTGTATACTACTCACTGAGCAGAAGGGAGGTAGGGTTGGTGTTAAGAGTATATTTTAAGATTTAAATTATGTTGATACTATCTGTTGTATTAGCTTTGCTTTTCTTCAGTAAAATGTGCACTGTATTCTCATGTCCTACATTTTGTAATCCTGCCTCAATCAAACATACTTGACAAAATAAGCTTTTTGAGGCTTCAGGCAGGAGAACGATGGCACCAGTACGGCCTTGACTTTTTATTCAGTTAAAACACAGGAAAATATAATAATAATTTATACTTCTACTTATAAACTAAAATAATTACTCAGTCAGGAATGAACACCCATGATCAACAGAGTAAAAGCACAACAGACAGTGCCTCGTCCAAGCTGCTTGCTGAATTTGTAAAATGAAACAACCTTAGCGTGCGATCACAAACAGACGCGTTGCTACAGGCACGGCTGCTTCAAAAATGCCATGGTAAAGCACATTAGTGTTTGAACTTGTGTTTGAACTACAGCTGCAATCAAAAGGCATCGGCCATATTTCAAGCAACACCAAATGCAACAAGGAATATGCATAAACCTCTTGGTTCCCAACCTGACCACTTTATTGTATTATTTGGTGGTATTAAAGCTGCAGTAGGTCATTTTTATAAAAATAACTTTTTGTCATATTCACTGAAATTTTCACTATATCCTGAGCAGTACATGAGACAGATAATCTGTGAAACAATCAGGTTCCTTACAGTTATGTATTCATTTATATATTACATATATAGTATATATATATATAAAATCCTTATAAATGCAAATTTCTAAACCAACAAATAGGGCTGCCCCCTTGTAGCTGAGTAAAGCATACGTCGATGAGAATACTTAACCCACTGTTCATCAGTTGCATAGTCCCTCAAATTCTACTTGGGAGCTGCACTTTGTCACTGGGACAAAAGAATGACGGGATTGTTGCAACACAGACCTTTTCCCTTTCACAGAAACACACCTACTGGCACACTGTTGTATCTACCAACTGTACTAGCTGCCATTAGCTACTTAGAACTGTTGTTTGTTGTTTACAGTACTAGCATAAGTACGGAGCCACTAAAGGGACATGGGAAAAAAAAAAAAAAAGAAACGTTTCTTTTTTATCAGTGTCACCAGATAGTATCAGACTACAGGCGCACTAGATACTATCCATATTGTGGCGAATCAACACATGGCTAATTTTAATATTCAAATGGGTATTAAACTAATTTGTCTGTAACTAAAAAATAAATGTAAATTAATCTGTAACCTTTTTTGTTACAGTCCGCATTTAAATGCCCTGTCCTGCAGCCGGACACTCATTTGTCCTCCTTTTGAGAAAATAACAAAAACAGTCCACCTTTTGACACATTACCTTGTTAGTTTAATACTTATTGGCTTAAAATGTGTGTCAAAATAAGTAATTTCATTGGTTACATTTTCGTGTTGTGACCTATTAACACACGGCTAATTTTAATATTTAAATGAGCCATGTGCTGATTTGCCACAACACTCCATCCTTATCTAGTGCCCACAAGATAGTACTAGATACTATCTAGTGCGCACTAGATACGGATCTAGTGCTAACAAGATCGTATCTAGTGAGCACTAGATACTATCTAGTGCGCAAATGAGCCAGGTGAGCGAGCAACAGAAACAAGCTCACCTACAAGACTTATGGAGGGCAGGTGATTTAGAGCGGCTCTGACCAGGACTCTGCCTCCAGGGACGATGAAGACATAGTAGGTTCAGGAGAGGAGCCAGTTTGTAGCGAGGTAATTAATAAGTAACTGTTAATGTTATCCATCATCCATCATATCGATAAGTCCGCCAGTACTTGTTTTAGTGAAGTTGGAAGTAATTTTTTCTGTGTTTTGAACGACACTAGTGTGATGTTGTACAGTGTTGAAATAATTGAACTAAATGTTCAGTCACATAGACTCATTACCGTTTTTTACGCATTTAACAGGCTGCTGTTAAAAAAAAAAATTTAAAATGTAATAATATAAATGTGCGACGAGTGTGTCGACTATTCAAGTCTTTAGTTGGGGGCAGCCCGACAAGTTAGCATATTTCACTGTTATATGACATTAACAATAAATTGGAAAGATAACTGATACATAAGCCAACAATACAAATGTAAGAGCTTTTCAGCTGCCTTTTGGCCTGTGCTGAGATTTCAAGTGCTTATTGTTGCTCCTAAGCCATGTGCTGCTCTCTTGCAACTTTTTCTTCCTCTACCTCGTCTTTGCTTCCCTCTCTGTTGCTCTTGAGGATGGCTGCAGTAAGACTCCACTCCACTGACGCGTTGTTTACCGACGCCTGCAGTACACATTGAACTCACCATTAAGGTAGAGGTAGCAGTATTTTTTCAACCTAGACATTATTTTTTGTGTCCAAGTTAGTGAGTGAGATCGCAGCAGCTAGCGATCACAAAGAAGCAATCTTTATGGGCAATTCACTTCAGGTCAACTGTTATCTAATATGGGCCATTTGAACAGCCATACAAAAAAAATTTTAGTTGAGCAATAAATCTGGATTGAGCACTAAGGCTTGCAGTGTGAACGTAGCCTTTGACACAGAAACATGATGAAGGTCCAGGTTGAAAAGTACCAGATACCCTTTAACAAGTATTTTGATGCGCTTCACACACCGTCAACTACAATGCCTTGACAAGAGAATCCCATAAAAAATAAATAAGGGTGATTTTCTCTTTGCGACACGCCACTGCCAGCAGATGCTGTGATACATAAAGCTACAGGTGGCTCACTTTGGAAAAGTTAAACTGAAATTTTCAAGTTACAGCAACTGAAACCAGTTTATCACAAAGAGCAGTGTTCTGCGTTTAGTGCAGGTGAGTCTGATTCATGTTGTTCCTACCTCAACCACTCAATCCCTCTTGCACAGCGGTAAGAAAAGTGGGAGGTTGCAGCTCTGCACTTTTATTTACTGATGCTGCTCTCAGGAACACACTTATGGTTTTTCACACGTGACTGTCTGGTGAAATTTCTACCACAAACAGGGCAGCTGAAGGACTTCTTACCCGTGTGGACTGTCATGTGTTGTGTCAAATGTCCTTTTTGTGTAAATTTCTTATCACAGACTGGGCAGCTGAATGGTTTCTCTCCCGTGTGGATCCTCATGTGTTTTAACAACGACTGGCTTAGGCTAAAAGTCGTGTTGCACACAGAGCAGCTGTAAGGTTTTTCTCCTGTGTGAACTCTCATGTGTCTGGCCAGGACTCCGGTCCTGATGAACCGTTTCGGACAGAGCGGGCATCTGTGTGGCTTTTCTCCTGTGTGGATCCTCATGTGTGAGATGAGACCCGTGCTCTGTGTGAATCTTTTACCGCAGACTGAACAGCTGAAGGGTTTCTCGCCTGTGTGAATCCTGATATGTCTCACAGCATCGCATTTGTAGACAAATTGTCTGTTACAGATGGAACATCTGAAGATTTTATGTCCTTTCCTCCTAAGTGTGACTACATGTGACCTTCCGACACAAAATGAACAAACGGGTGGTTTGTCACCCGAAGGACTTGCGTGGCTCTGCACATGGTTGTCAGGGTCAAATGTTTTACCACATTCAGAGCAGTTAAGAGATTTCTTGCCAGTGTTGTAGTCTTTATCACCTTCTGACTGAGCTATACCTGTCTCCTTCCCGTCATCGTTTTCAGTCTCAGGCTCAGAGGAGTCTGAAGTCCTGTCGCCATTGGCTGGTTGACTGACAGATACACCTGTCTGGGTCTGCTTCGATATCACAGCGTTTAAATCTGACTGATGTTCCCTGCTCTGTTTCAAATCATCGATGTTGCCAGCTTGTTGGGAAGAGTCCGGAGTCTCATCATTATTAGCTTGTGTCTTACTATCTAGATCTAAGCTCCTGATTGGTTCTGATCCTCCACGGTCCTCTCCGTCACACATAGTGTCCATCTGTTGATCTGAGCAGCTGGCTGGAGGCTCTCTGTTCTGTTCCGTTTGTGACAGATGAAGCTGCGAGGTCGGAGCGTTCTCTTCATCGTCGTCACTCTTCACAGGGATGGCTCCTTGAAGCTGCTCTCCCTCCTGGCTGCTCCAGGGTTGCTCCTGCTCCTCTTTAATGTGCAGGGGCTCTGGGTCCTGCTGAACATCTGCAGATAATACTGAAAAAACAAACATTATTGCAGAAGGTGAGCTCAAACACACCCGTACAGCAGTCATTCGTGTTTCTCTGCCACTTTGCCGTCACGTGGTAACTGGTGCCATGCAACATTAAAGCTGCAAAGTGTGTGTATGTGAGAAGGGGGGACACTAGAGTGCGGCAGAGCATCAGAATTGCCTGATTTCCACTATGGCGATGTTGTCAGATTGCAAAAGTTACACTTTATTTACGGTTTACATTCTCTAACATTTTCCAAGTGGTTTTAGCTGCTTTAAAGCTGCAGTAGGTAACTAATACCTAATAAATAACTTTTTGTCATATTCACTGAAACTTTCACTATATCCTGACAGTAGTACACGAGACAGATGATCTGCAAAAACAATCAGGTTCCTCTGGCTCCTCCTAGTGCTCCTAACAGTATTTACTAGAATCCACCGGGCCTGAATGAAAACAACAAGGCCCAGTAGATTCTTGCAAATGCCATTTTCCACGCTTGGTCTAGGCAACAGGTCATGCCTGCAGAGTGTGCAGGAGGCGCAGGACTCATCTGTAAAAATGTTTCTGCATTAATATCAATACAAACCGAGTCCCAAAATGACCACAAACTACAACTGTAGACACAATTGGAATTTTATAAATTAACCGAGTGATGTGTGGCTTCTGGGGCTCCAGTCCCAAATGTTTTCTCAAAAGCCCTGAATATTTTAGGATTTCAAAACGGGTTCAACTTTGTGTCTGAAAAAATGCTGAGTGACAGGAAATGCAAATGTGTTTGTCTGTTAGCTTGACACTGCTGTTATCTTTAACAAAACTGCATCTACAAAACAAGAAAACAGACATTTTCAGATTTTTTTCAGACAGCAGATCAGTTAGAAATATGTCCAGGTGTAATGGAGCAGCCACAGTGAGCTGTTAGAGGAAGAGCTGCAGGGACACGCTGCACACCCCCAACCCTCAGCCAGGCATCGTTAACAAACTACTTTCACTTTAACAGTTCACAGACTCATGACGTCTGACTGCGCACACACACACAGTCAGATCACAGTTGGTCAAAGAAAGATGGAAAAAATAATTGCCTGACTTCTTTACTAAAACAGTAGTTTGCTTTGCTTCCTCTAGTATTCTGGGAACTGTAGTATTATCCAGGTGTGAATGCACAATAACGGTGCAACTGCACTATTTTCTAAATTATTATACTTTTATCAGTGTGAACAGACTAAAAACATGGGAAATCCATAATGATAACTAGATACTAGAAAATGCTCTAAGAGCTCTATAGAAGCTCATATCCACAAATGTAATTATACACATTACAATGATTATAATGGTCTAAAAAGTCTGTAAATCATTATAATGTGAAACTTTTTGAAAATATTTACTTAGTCAAGAAGTCATGTTCCTCTGGCTCGTTCTAGCACAAAGGCAAGAATTCACAATACACTTCAGGCCTAGGAGGAACCAGATTGTTTCACAGAGTATCTGTCTCATGTTCTACTGTCAGGATATAGTGAAAGCTTCAGCAAAGAAAAAAGTTATTTTTACAAAAATGATACACTGCAGCTTTAAGTTATCCCAATAGTGACGACTGTGAGACTCCTGAGTACAGAAAGTAGTGCAGTGTGAGCAGCACAGCTCTATGGAGCGTTCTGTAACGCCACTGTCTGTCTGTCTGTCTGTCTGTCTGTCTGCAGCGCGGCCACAGCTGAAGTGTTGAGAGTCTGGCTGCGGGACTAAAGTGCCACCAGCTTGCTAGCTTGTTTTCTATCTGAAGGTATAAAAGAACGTGTAGCGAGCCGCCGTTTGAACACTAACCTGCTCTGTGTAAGCGAACTTCAGGATTCAGAATGTTGTCCAGTAGTCTGCGCTGTCGCTCGTTCTCCCGCTTTGAAAGAGAAAGTTCCTCTTCGTACTCCACTATGGTTCTCTCAAACACGCCAAATATCTCCTCCGCGGCCGCCATTAGACGCTGACTCACCACCAACCTCAACATTTCCACTTTGGATCTGTTTAAAACTGTTAAATGTATGGGCTCCTCCATGTTGTCAGGCACAGCCACTTTCTAACTTCCGTGTTCTGCCAGCAGGAGCAACAACAGGGAGACTTCCGGCCCAAATCTTTCACAATAGTTTTCAGAAACGTCCTGGAATCCTGGAACATTTCATTTCATTTGTATATATGTAGACGGTACTTTTTTAAACATCAACTTTACATTCTATTGAAGTAGAAGTACAATGACAAATATGGAAGCCCATTTCTCTCTCTCTAAAAAATATTTCAAATTCAAAACGGACTTTATTGGCATGAAAGTTTTTTTAAAACAATATTGCCAAAGCAAAGCATCAAAGTACAATACAATAAATCAAAGATATATACATTATGAACATTATATTAGTTATATACAGTGTGTGTGTGTGTGTGTGTGTGTGTGTGTGTGTGTGTGTGTGTGTGTGTGTGTGTGTGTGTGTGTGTGTGTGTGCCTCAATCACTCACTGTCCCTCAGGTTGTGGCATGTTAATACATACTGGGCAGCAAGGTGTGCCCGCTCTCCTTCTCAGAGGAGTATTTTTAATTTGGAGAGGTCGTTCAGCTCTTTGAAATCTGGAACCAAAGAGCTGAACTTTTTCTAGTATTATTTAATTTTGTACATTGTAGGAGAAAGTGCATCTCTGTCTCAACTCTCTCTCTCTCTCTCTCTCTCTCTCTCTCTCTCACCCCAACTGGTCGAGACAGACGACCACCCACCTAGAGCCGGAGGATCTGTCCTAGGTTTCTGCCTTTTAACAGGCAGTTTTTCCTTGCCCTTGTCGCCAAGTGCTTGCTCATGGTGGTACTGTTGGGTCTCTGTAAATAATGTTATAAAGAGTTCGGTCTAGACCTGCTCTATTTGAAAAGTGTCCTGAGATAACTTCTGTTATAATTTGGCATTATACAAATAAAATTGAATTGAATTGAATTGAAATTTCCGCCAGTAAAATAAAGAAATAAGATGAAAGCCTTGATAATATTTATTTTTTATGTTAAATCCAATTAATGAGATAAAAGTCATAATTATGAAAAGTACACAAAGTAACAACCAAAGACCTAATAGAACAATAAGGGTGGGAAAAAAATGAATTTATCAAAAAAAAAGGAAGCCTATTAAGATGTATGATTGTTTAAAAAAAACAACATAATGCAGACGGAACATTTTAATAAAACATCCCAAAAATATAATTAAATCAATATTCAAATAATCTGCTCATAATTCATCCAAATCTCTGGTTTCCTGCAGTTATTGTGTTCCCTGTTTGTGTTCATTGTACAGTTTATCAGTTATTCCCTACTGTTATTGTTATGCACTGAATATAATAAAATATGTCACTGAGTCAGTTTACTCAATGATGGAAAAGGGTTCCCTTAAGGAAAAAGGTTGGGAACCAGTGATCTACACGGTGATTTTTGTGTCCACAATATAACCCCCCTTTGTTAATGCACTAATTATCTGTCTACGTCCATTATCACTGAGTCTGTTGAGGGTGGGAAAGACCAATAGGCAACAACAGGCAAAATAAAGAGAATCTACACAGATTTCTAAATGGCTTGTGTCTGTATAGGCTATTAATAGTAATTTTCTGTTTCAACACTAGGTGGCATTCTCTGAGAGCAGATGTGAAGTTCAGAAACAAAACAAGTGCTACTAGTGAGGACATTTATAATCCCAGCAGTCTGCAGAGACTGCTCAAAGGCGAACTCAGTACAACCATTAAAAGTAGCAGTATGGCACAACCTGTAAAATTCTTTAATAACTGAATCAATGTTTATTTGATTTGTTTATGTGTCTAAAAAGAAACATTAGACAATACATTGTTGTGGGATAATAAATAATAATCACAAATAATAATCAACCTCAACAATACAGTCTCCCTGCAAATAGGTCTGGTCTAGTTGTCCAGGTTTTGAATGGAGAATTTCCCACACCACAGTAATGCTCAACCTTGATAAGAGGATAAAGATCAAAACAAAGGGACACTGCACTCTGAAGACTAAGAGTTCAATTTATTAATGATGATCGTTGGATATTCTGACCTTCATCATATGTTCAAGAGGCCAAAATGTTATCAATAAAGTATACACATACATAATGTCTAGTGTAGTGCCATACCTTTTGTACTGATTAAGGCCAGTGGTTCCCAGCAATTGAATGGATATTTCATATTATATTTAATTCATAACAATAACAGTAGAGAACACCCAAACAGTGACCACAATAACTGCAGGAAGTTTGTGTAAAGCCAGATATTTAGATGCATTTTGAGCAGATTATTTTCTGTGAATATTGATCAGAGATGAGATTTTCCTGAACTATACATTTAACTTTTTTTAACAAGCATACACAATAAACAGGCTTTGTTTTTTGACATATTCAGTGTTTTATTCTCCCTGATGCTGGGCTATTGTTGTTGCTCTTTGGGTGTTTAAACATTTCAAATGAGGCTGTTCATCATAGACTGAATGCTCTGTGAAATAGTTCAGTTGAAAATCACAGTCTTCATAAAAATAATAATTTCATGTACTATGCTGTGATATGGGCCTACTGTGTGTATTGTATATGTTTTCTTACACTACCCTTAAAATCATAAGGCCTTGTGACCCCTTGTGAAGCTTTGGCGACCCCTAGTTGAGCTCCCGACCCCAAGCTAGTCTTATCTTTATTTGAGTATCAGAAGTCATATTGAAACACAATAATAAGGTACTGCTGGGACTTGAAATGCTTTAAAGAGGCACCAAGCTGTGTAAGTGTAATCAATTAATTAATCAGAATGATCAAAAATAATAAATAATAACTGGAATTAATATTAAAGTTCCTCAGGGGCACCAACTGATGGCCAATTGACAGACTGATTCCCAGTCCCACAAAATACACTATTCATTTGTAACTCTGATTAATGATTAAATTAACGACTTCAGCAGTAAAAATGTCCAGCTAGTAAGAAACTAGAAGGATTTGAAGCTCAGCATAGAAGATGTTGTACAATATTAAAGGGGACATATTATGCAAAACCAATTTTTTAATCATTTGATTATGTACATTTGGGACTCTGGAGGGCCTATCAGCAGCAAAGTGTGAAAATAATGACTCAGTCATGTTTTTGTGGGCTGCCTCAGTCAGAATACAGGAGATAAATCACTCAATTTCAGACAGTCAGACTTTTTGACGTCATTTCGCCTCCATGTTGCCACCCACTGCAGTTTACTTCCTGTTGACTATCGGAGCTCCGCCATTGTTACTATAAAAGAGCTAGCTAGCAGAGAACAAGCACAGCCAGCAGCCTGCCAGCCTGCCAGCCTAATGTCTGGGCAAAGGCTTCAGCAGGCAAACTGCTCAGTCATTGGCTGCACAGCCCAACACCAATTTACATATGTATGAGCCACTGGATTTATTTTTATTTTTGACGGCAATGTCCGGTGGAAAAACCGGAACATGTGTGAACCACTTTGTGTCGAACTGTTTTCACAACCTCGGTCAGTACAACACTGGACTGGCTGAAAGACTGTTCCTGAAAGAGGAATTCATACCAACTGTCCCTGGAGAGTGCCAATGTAGGTATCCCCGACAGGAAGTGTTTCCCCTGGCCGCAGGAGCGCGCATTCATTCAGTGAAGGCGGAGAAACAGTGGTGCGCCTGCTTTCACCCAAGTAAATTAAAACTTTGCCGGGTGTACGTAAAGGTCAAAAAGCACGTTACCATACGTTCATAAATTGGACATTTTGCGGATTAATTTGGTCCAAGAATGGCCAAGTGTTGGTGCTATCCATTAACAGTAAATAATCAGGATCTCCTTTGTGTTGTGAATGTTTTGTTGTTGCTTGTCTTATCTTACCTTCAACGACGTACAAAGACGCTTTTCTCCGAAGAATAAATGTATCTTTCTTAGATAAATTCTCCGGGTATTCATTTTTAAGTTTGTAATTCACAATCAGTGTGTAGTCTTTCGGGTCCATTATCTATCAGCTTAAGCTTTTTTTTCACTGCGCACTTTATTGACTCCTCTTCACACCTTCTTGACCTCGCTAAATTTGCATAAGTAATTGCTGGGATCACGAGGCTTCATCTGTCTGTTTTGGGGGGGTATACAAATTCTGGCAGACAGGTTGTCAGTCTGAAATAATATGTCCCCCCCCATATCATTGGCTAGAAGAGAAGAAACTTGTTCATAATCCCAAAGGTTGTAGAGTAGTATCTGAAGTACACATAAAATAAATAATTTGATGGTCAGGCTTCATCTGTCTATTATAGTACATTTCGAGTGAAGTAGATTTAATACACGTAATTGAAGCCAGAAAACTATCACAGTGACCTTGATTTTGGATATGGACGTTTATTTAGTTCGACAAATTCCATACCAGGACTTGAATTACAGCGTGTTATATGTCAAATCACATGAGGAAATTATTGCCTTGGTTTTTCCGTTCAGTACGTAGTACGACGTTACGACGTACAAAAGAATAAAAGCATTTATTTTGATGGGCGGGCCATGTTGCAAAACCTCGTAGATAATTACAACATCAGAACATTGAATTAAACAATGCAATTGTTGTTAGTTTTAATTTACTTGGGTGAAAGCAAGCGCACCACTGTTTCTCCGCCTTCGCTGAATGAATGGGCGCTCCCGCGGCAAGGGGAAACACTTTCTGTCGGGGATACCTACATTGGCACGACAACGGCAGAGGAAGTAAATTTAAGTATTTTTAAGAATTTATGCAGTTTTTCATTGTTCGTTTACCGCTAGCACATGCTAACCATTGTTAGCTACAGGAGCCTCAGTGAAGCTAACGTAGTAATTGTTTGTTAAATGTTTGTTAAATGTGTGCAAGATGAACATGAAACTTCTAAGGTGAGGTTAATTTATTAAGCCAGCTGGTGCAGATGTCTCCATATTCTCCTCTGCTGCTATTTTTTATAGAGATTCACGCAAAGTTTATGCCGTGAATCACCAGTCTTCGACTGCGGTCAAGCCAGCCGCAACTTCGATCCCCGTGGTCAACTCAGCCACATGTAAATTTCGACTGTGCAAGTATTCTCAGCATTACGGTGTGACGG